TTTATTATTATTATTATTTTTTTTTTTTTTGGTTAACAGAAACTTGATCTTCTCCCTTTGATAATAAAAATATAAAATCAATAAAGACATTCATGCAAAGAGGATACATGCAATAAAAGAAGGGATATGAAAAACTCCGAGTCCCAAGGACTAATCTTCCATCAACGTTTCTCAACAGGACGGAAAAAATTTCTAAAATTACGTCTAAATGAACAACAATGCCTTATTACAATGTCTTATTACAATTACATCGATAAAATAGTGACTGTTTGTGAAAAGAAAATGAGTTAAAGGACAACAATGCCTTATTATTATTATTATTATTATTATTATTATTATTATTATTTTGAAAAATAACAAAGAATCCCAAGCTATGCTCAAATCCCACATGCCCCCTTGAATTTTTTTTTAAAAAAAACTATAACCTTCTTGACAAATTTAATAATAACTATATTATTACTCGGTTTTGTTTCAACTTACTAATTCAAATACAACTTATGCTAATACTCTTTTATTCAACAATAAATCTCTATAATTTCTGCAATTAATAGCTAGTGAAAAAATTCGAGCGTTATAAATATCCTATTTAAATTTATGAGCTTTTATAGTATCCACTTTATGGATATATGTGCTAATTATTTTAATTACAGTAACCAAAAATGATAATGTGGTTATTCAGTATTAGGGGATATGAATATAGTTCGAAGTGTTTTGTCTTTATATTTTGAAAATCATAAGCAAATTTGGAGTGTAATTGTAAATTCAATTTATGAATTTTTCTATTTAAAATATAAGCATAACCATCTTATTTTTTTAATCATTTAACATCCATGGGCCATTGACTTTAAACTTATGATGATCAAATGGAATTTTCGTCCTTATATAAAAAGTCGAGGGGGGATTAATCTTTGGAACATAGTTCAGAGAATTTTGTCTTTATCCCTAGAAAGAATGATTTCATTATACACGATGAATGCATATTTTCAACCAAAGTATTGGATGACATAAAGAAAAAAAAAAGGAAAAAAAAAGTAATAATACCATAATGAACACATTGCACTCATTCTTATATCAATTGTTTAGATTATTATATTATGATCTTCTCATGATGAGATTAACTTGAGTACATGGAATTCTCTCAAAAAAATATTATAATTTTTTTTTATAACGCCGGGAACCCCACCAGAGATGGGTAAACCCACGCCCACTGCAATAGCCTGTAAACCATAGTGGGAGGTAAACCACCCTAGGCATGCCCGGGGTGACAAGCTCGGGTGCGAAATCGGGGGTTCGTTAGTGGGTTAGCCATGACAAACCCCCTAAAGATGCTAATAGGTAAGGTGAAAGCCAACCCTTCACTTTTTGTTGGAGTGAGGGATTGAACTCATGACCTCTTCTTGGAGTAAGGGTGGTGTTATCACTGAACCAACTCCTCATTCGCTAAGTGAAAAGTTTCATATTATTCTTCTACAAGACTACGAGTGACACAGAATAAATTTCAGACATTCAATTCAATTTTAATAAATATAAAATTAAATAACCCTGAGCCAGCATTTCAAGGCAAAAAAGAGAAAGTTATCTTCCAAGAATTCTTACCAAACCCAGTAACAAGTTTGCCATGTAAAGACCAAACTGTCCCTTTTATCTGGACGAGTAACTTTGGTTAAGTCTACACTGTCCTCTATGCTAGTCTATCCCATGGGAGTCCTCAGGCTCCCGGCACACACTCTACACAAGGCCGGCCAAATTATTGAAAATTTTATCTGGAAGGGAGGTAGTCAAGATAAATAAATCCACTGGAGAGTTTCGAAAAAAATTACCAAAGCCTAATTTCATGGCGGGCTTGGTTTAAAGGCTACAACGGAGTTTAATCAGGCACTGCTGCGAAGCACGTCTGAAAAATCATGGCAACTCCAACATCTCTTTTGGCCAGACTCATTAGAGTTAAATATTACTCTAATGGTAGCTTCCTACCTCTGAAACATCCAAACAATCCATTATGGGAATTCCAAAGCATATGGTGGGGATCTGAATTACTTCGGAACCAAACTAAATGGAAGGTTAATTTCTGGGATGGATATCCCCTTAGCAGCTAACTAGATACCGGATCATGTGAACCCTATAAACCATAACTCAATTCTGGCCATCAACTCAACTCTCAAAGTTCAAGACTTCGTAAGAAGAAATGGGCAATGAAAGTTAAGTTCCCTTTGTTCCATTTTCCCAGACCATATGATTCCTTACATTACATGAATTTTTATCGATCCAGTAAAAAAGATACGTAAACACAAAATCTAGTGGATATATACTAAGCATGACAACTATACAGTTAAAACGGACTACCAACTTGTCACAAGTGATCATCTGATTCACCTGGTCCAGACCCAGCAATCCTCAGAGCATAAAAATTGGCTTGGAAAAGATTATAGAATTCGACGGTGCAACCTAAATAGAAGTTTCTATCCTTGAGAACATCACTGGATGCTTTTTCCACCAGGAAAGAGCTCCACAAAAGAAGAATTTTGATGGACACCATATGTCCTAGATTCAAGAAAGATGAGGAGGACAATTTGCACCTTTTTTTCATATGTGAAGTTTTACAGGGTATTTGGATTATGGCACCGCCTTGTATTGCCGTTGCTTTCACTCATAGCTCACAATCCTTCATGCATTGCTTCATATCATGGATTTAATTGCATCCTCCTAAAGAGATTATTGAATTATTCTTGCTTTTTATATGACTCATTTGGCTGGAAATGAATGACAAAATCTAAAGAAGTCAGAGCCATGATCTGGCAATTTCGTGGCAACTCATCCAAGCGAATCCAATCTTCACAAGAAAACTCAACTCAAACTCAAAATTCTAGACAATGTAGTACATATGCAAAAATAAATAACTCCACAAGTCTGATAGTCTTTTATGGTTCCTTCAATCCACAATCCACAATCCAGAAGGGTTTCTGTAACATGGAAGATTGTCTCTTCTCGTGGTGTGGTGATGCAAATTAAAGCAATTGACTTAAATGCTCTATCCCCATTTTAAACGAAAGCATTAATATGCCTATGCGAAAAACAGATAATCTTGGGATCTCCCAATTTATAGTCGAGACGTATTGTGAGGTTTTCACTGGGGATCTCGAATCTCCCCTTATTCTCATGGACACACAAGAAAATGTATTTTGTTATCTTTACTAATTTCTTCATTTCATTCTTTTCACCTGATTAAAATTTCTAGACAAGATGTACAAGAATTACATTTTCGCGTGTATAATAGAATGTAAGGTAATAATAAAGGTATCTTTAATTAATATTCTAATACTTAAAAGAAAATTATAAGATTGTTTTCCTCCGTACATAGTAGTACATTCGATGAGTGTACTCCTAAATTTCTTAGTTAAAAAAAAAAAAAAAACGTTTCATTTCCTTTTTTTTTTCTTTTCCGCTATACCCTCCCAAAACTTCATCTTCAAACTTGTTCCACTATGTTTTATCATTACCCGTTTTTGCTAAGCAATTGCAGCACATAATCAAGGGTTATTTTTTCCCAAAAAACAAAAAATTCACATAACAGTTTTATTAATATTGTGGAAAAATTTCTACCATCTTTTTTTTTTTTTTGAGATTTCTTTACTTCCATAGTAATTAGATTCTTGCCCCGGGCGAATGCCCGGGGTGCCGTCTTTACTTTTAATCGATTAAATAAAAAAATAAATTATCTTTAAAAGAATAAAAAACAGAAAAATAAAAAATCGATTAAAAGGACAGGAACTGAGTTATTATACATAAACCTATGTCGGGGTTTACAACAGTTAATTTACAACAGTTAACTTATACCCGGATTTACATAACTCATAAACCAATATTTAAAACAGAAGAATAAAAAAAATAAATCATCCTTAAAAAATCAAATTTCCTTCCATGACCGCTTCTTTTTCCTCTGTTGTAGAAAGAGATGAATTGATAATTGATGTCAGATTTTAAATAATTGATTTGAAGGCCCGAGTCTGAGAGAAGAGTGGAATGGAAAAGATCATTTGAGATTGAGTGGCAGTGTTGTTTCACTTGATTTAAGGAGATTTTCTGACATTTGATTTTATCAACTCAATATTATTGTTTTAAGAGATTACTATATACCTATAATTAATGGATTTTTATGTAGCTATAATTAAGGGATTTATTTATTTATGTATTTCATCCTTTTTTTCTGATTAGTTAGAGTGCCACATGTCAAAAATGATTTTGTACTGAAAATGACTTTTGGCGGGAAAATTTTCATTGTGGTGATGACACATGTCCTTTTTGTTTGCTGCTTTAATTAAGTACTATAGATGTTATCTTTAATTTATACTCCTTTTGTCCCAAAATGATTGTCCAGCTTGAAATTTTACTTTTAGTACAATTTGAACTAAAAATGAAAATCTAAACAGGACAATAATTATGGGACGGAGGGAGTATTTAATTTGGACAAGGTCACATAACTAGCAGATTATCCCAATTTATTATTTTCCCCAACTATGTATGTTGCACCGTATTGCAGCACATAATCAAGGGTTATTTTTTCCCCAAAAAGCCAAACTTCACATAACAGTTTTATTAATATTGTGGAAAACTTTCTACCATCCTTTTTTTTTTTTAGAATTCTTTACTGCCATAGTAATGTTATCTTTAATTTATGCTCCCTCCGTCCCATAATTATTGTCCACTTTACCCAAAAAATTTTGTCCCAAAATTATTGTCCAATTTGACTTTTTATGGATAAAGTTACACATTTGTCCTTAGTAAAAAATATTATCCATAAAATTTTAGTGGTTAAACAATTACTTATGTAGGGGTATATCCGGTTGTTTAAGGTAAAATATAGTTAAGTTTGACCAAAAATAAAATCTTTCATTTTAGTAAAACTGGACAATAATTATGGGACGGAGGGACTATTTAATTTGGACAAGGTCACATAAATAGCAGATTATCCCAATTTATTATTTTCCCCAACTATGTATGTTGCACCGTATTATAAAGAATCACCCTCTCTTTATTACACTACATTATACTGTGAAAAAAATTATAATTTCCCTATTATATTTTCAACAAAGTTCACAGGCCTTCTGGAAGTTTCTAGCTTTAACAGTTCTAGAGGCCTTCGTATAATCGAGCACACCCCTTTTTATCTATTCCCCGATCGCTCGCGGAATTGGGTTTCTTAGGTTATTTATTTGCTTTTTTTTTCCCCCTTTTTTATTGTTGTTTTTGGGTTTTAGGAGATTTGTAGTTTTGTTTGAAATAGCAAATAAGTAAAAATTGCGAAGGTGAATAACAAGAGGAGGAGAGAGGAGGTGGAGGAGAAGATGGGGGTGGATTATTACAAAATTTTGGGTGTTGATAGGAAAGCTTCGGATGATGATTTGAAGAAAGCTTATCGAAAGCTCGCTATGAAGTGGCATCCTGACAAGAATCCCACAAACAAAAAAGAAGCGGAAGCCAAGTTCAAGCAGATTTCTGAAGCTTACGATGTATGTGCCCTCGTATTTTAATCTCTCTTTCTGGCTCTTATGCTGTAATTAGACATGCCTTTCAGCCCTTGTGTTAATTGGGATTGTGTTTTGTGTAAAGTTACTATCTTGGTGATGGTCGTACTTGTTTGTTTTTAGGTAATTGGATTGCTGTTCTTACTGAGTCGCTGCATTTTGTTTCCATTATGTGGGATTTGATTTTTAAGATTGGGTTTTTTGTTTGTGGGTTGAATATAATTTGGGTAGTTTTTTTTTTTTTTTTTCCGGGCAAAAACATTTTCGCGATGTAGAGGTTCTAATTTTGATTGATAAAAGTGCAATCTTGGTACTTTAAATTTACTATCTTTAGGTATCTTCTGAGGTGGTGGTAGAGTTGCAGTCTTATCGATTCATCAATTTTGATATTTTGGCGATGTAGTTAGAGGTTTTTTTTTAATGTTTGCAATTCGTGAATTGGGATATGCTTGCTGTGATCATAGGTACTAAGTGACCCGCAGAAGAGAGCTGTATATGATCAGTATGGCGAAGAGGGCCTAAAAGGTGCACCTCCTCCTGATGCTGCTGGGGGTCCAGGCGGCGCGACCTATTTCTCAACTGGTGGAGGGCCAAGTGGATTTAGGTTCAATACTAGGAGTCCTGATGACATATTCTCAGAAATTTTTGGGTTCTCTGGGCCATTTGGAGGAGGAATGGGCGGTAGTGGAATGAGGGGTTCAGGGTTTGGCGGCATGTTTAGTGACAACATGTTTACGTCCTTTAGTGAAGGAGGTGGCAGCGGTGGTGGAGTGCATCAACATGCCCTTAGGAAGGGACCTCCAATCGAGAAACACTTACCTTGTACCCTGGAGGAGCTTTATAAGGGAACAGCCAAAAAAATGAAGATATCTCGGGAAATTGTTGACGCCAGTGGGTGAGTGCGACTTTACCTTTTGATTTTTGATTTTGTCAGAGTAGCAAAGTGTTTGTCTGTTCTTGTCTCTATTTGCCTATGTATTTCTATTGTTTTGTTTGCTAATAGCTTTAGCATGCAAGATACTAGAAAGTGGAAGATTCTTCTTACATTGGCTGATATGTAAATGTGTTTCATGGCTGTTTACATGAATAAGCCCTTTGTGCTTAGCTGTGTTTTACCTCAAGCTGTAAGGCATGCGTTGCCTTCAAATATTCTGGACTGTGCCCCCTTGTTTTTTGCTAGACATAGTCATCAGAAAGTTGAAGCAGACTGAGAATTTTATGCTTAGGCAAACCTCTTTGTGTAAAAAGACTGCTATTTGTTCTTTGTTCTTTGGTGAGGGCACGGATGTAAGAGCATCCTTTTTTGGTAGTGTAGTTAATGTTAGACTGGTTTATATGTCTTAAAAGGCGTTTTCATTGCTCTGCTATTTTGTCAAGTATGCAGTGTCCGTAGGACATTGTCGTTGTTTCACTAATCCGGATCACATGTATAGGGAATTTAGTAGGCGTGCCCTAGATGGATTTTATTGTTTAACTTTCCTTGTTGTTGTTTCTTTGTTGATGATTTAAGTTACTCTGTTAGTCGTAAGGAGCAAAAGTTGCATCTGATTACCAGTTTTTATGTTTGTGGGTCGCATCTCTTAAATGCATTTAGTCAGCAAATAAAACAAACCTGTGCTTTTGTAGATTTCAGGGAAACAGATTGCATGTATGAGGATGTTGTTGCTTGTAGACAGTATTTGTCTTTAACTATTGTCATTATTGTGATATTGTCCGCCAGTGTTGGTCGTACCTGACTCGTACACTTCAGTCTAATATCTATGAATGTCATGTTGAAATTTGTCATCTTTATGCATTTTGATCTAATTGATACTGTTGAACTCTGTTGTCGTGGTCCCAACTTTTGCATGAACAATCTTGCTTGGAATCACCTGCTTGCTTGAAGCTGGATTGTTAACGCTGGTTTCTGATCTTCAGCGGCTAGGGCGTTTGTGTTAAATTGTTTGGTTGATCTCTCTCTCTCTCTCTCTCTGTATTTTCTTACTTCCATTAATTTTTTTGTGGTTTGTACTTTTTAACAAGTACTCCTCCATGTTATTTACACAAGCATTGTGCTATTTTCTTCATGGTGAAGAACCTATTTATTTACTGAGTGAGATGATTCATGTTGCTCACTTTGCTTATGTGGAAAGATGCATTGTTGGTTGCTTGGTTATCTATTTGGTCTTGTTGCCCTGAAGCAGTTTCTGGTTTATGCAGGAGGACAACGACAGTAGAGGAATTTCTTACAATTAATGTCAAACCTGGTTGGAAGAAAGGAACCAAGATCACCTTCCCGGATAAGGGGAATGAGGTTCCAGGTGTTATTCCGTCAGATCTCGTATTTATTATTGACGAGAAACCTCATAGGGTTTTCACTCGTGATGGAAATGACTTGATTGCCACTCAGAAGATTTCTTTGGCCGAAGCCTTGACGGGTTGCACTGTTCACCTAACAACGTTGGATGGTAGAAATTTAACCATTCCTGTCACCAATGTCATTCATCCAACTTACGAAGAAGTAGTGCGAGGTGAAGGCATGCCACTCCCAAAAGATCCACCTAAGAAGGGAAATCTGCGGATCAAATTCGACATCAAATTCCCGGCGAGGCTAACAGCAAGTCAAAAAGCAGGTGTGAAAGAGCTTTTGGGTTCTTGATTCTGCTGTTCAGCTTTGGTGAAGGGCAGCTGGCCATCTGGTGTGTAATCATATAACTCAGAAGCAGGTGTGGAAAGACATGTCGAAGTCTTCATGAGACTGTATGTCAGCTTTAGTTGAGGGTAGTCAGCATGATGTATATTAATCGTTACCCAGCCTTTTGATTAATGACGATGAGGTCAAGAAACAAGGAGAATTTAGAAGAGCTTTATAGTCCATTCCTGTTTTTCTAAATTATGTCAAATAATACATTTTCATTAATTGTTTTGGTTGTGCTTTTAGAGTTTCTCTATATGGGAAAATATCAAGCATGTAAAGATGGTGCTTTTGAGTTGAATTAGTTTGGTACTTCTCGACCTTTGATGCAACTTTCGTACGTTGAGTTGAACGGGTAGCTAGAGATTATCTTAGAATTAAGTGGGGGCAGCATTGGGTATAATAATGTCGAAATACTTTTGAGGGGAAATCTGTTCTGTTTTATAGTTGTCCCAGTTTTGTGTATTTTTGACCATTTTTGTTGGCACATGTTGCTGTATTGGATGATTCATTCATATATGCGCACAGCATCCGGAACTGAATAGAACTACTTATAGATAGAACTGTTATACCTAATCTTCTGAAACAAATCATGTAAGCAAGAACTAGAGATACACATCGGTGCAGAAAATAAGTCATTTGCAAATATGCTTGAAAGGGTTGAAGATCTTTGACACATTTCTGGAAAGCCATTGTATTGCAAACCGAATGCACTATTGCAGATATCAGTAAAGAGGAGGAAAATGTATCACTAAGAGCAACCCAGCTAGTTCAAGTTGAAATCATAAACAGCAAGGTTGAAGAAAAGCAAACATCGACGAAGAGAACATTGGCGATGGTTTCATAAACGCTACACGCTTCACTTTAGTCCAAACAAAAGAATCGAATGAAGAACTCCTGTAGTGAGGAAAAAAGTACTCAATTGAACAGTAAGATCGGTTGGTGCCATGCTGAAAAAGGAAATCGAAGAAGGCATATGAAATCTTGTATTCCTTCCGTCCCACAAAAATAGTCTATATTGAGTTTTGAGTGTTGAACTATTTTTAGTACGAATTTGAAAAACTCAATGTGGACTATTTTTCTGGGACGGAGGTAGTAGCAAACTATTTAATGCCAACACTCAGACAAGAAAAGCAGAAACATTATAACAAGCAACTATAGAGAAACTAAGCTCTATATATGTGACAACTGACAATGCTCACAAGTCATAGACGAGTTTCCTCTCCCTTCTACATATGTAAAGATAGATTAGATTCAAATATAGGCCGAAACTGACAAAAGCAACTTCAAATTGCTAAACAACATTTACTAATACTAAGTAATAATCAAGCTATGATAAAATCCTAAGTTCCTGTATCCTACCTCCCACCTCATATACACAGAGAAGGTGGAATGGAAGGAGGCCTCGATGGGAGCACCGCAAGGAAACATGGGGCTAACTCGAATCCAGGCGAGTATCGGAATTCATGTAGATAGCGTCCAGATGGTTCACGTCGAATCATTTGTGTCCCCATGTCGTAGGACATTAAGCCTAGGCGTCTATCGTCGCAATGTAGATACACTACATCTGAATCGAATGGATGGAATGACACGAAGCTCACTTTACTAAGAGCCTCCTTAACCCGGAACAACAAATCGTCATGAGAAATGGGACGCGGCGCAATTCTAGAATTCCAAAGCGCAGTATGTTGAAGGCACCACTTGTCCTCCTTCTGGAGCTCCCATATTTTCCAACTCCTGATTCTGTGGGAAGCTCTCATGATTCCAAAACACTTCATCCGTCCTCCTTCAGAACCTAAATGATAGTCACCTTCGGTATATTCACCTGCATCATTATCATCAGTAGGACGCTCAATAATCCGCAACTTACGAGGATCCATGTAAGGATCATAAACCAGGATTCCTTGTCTTCCACCTAAACAATCATCTTCCATCAAGTAAAAAAATGTTTGTTCATTATAACAGCTGGTCTCTCGGAACGATTAACCATTACAGGACGTCGACAACGCGCTTTTAAACCCACCCAATTCCTCCCTGTTTCCGAAGAAAATATGTATAAATCAAGAACCCTTCCGGCAACGGATGATCTCGGAAATATCACAACTTTATAACTAGTCAAAACTCCACCTTGTACATTTGCAATAAAACCCACATTCATATTGGCAAAGACAGGGGCAGCCGCAGGCAGGGGAAACCATTGCTTGGTCACAGCATTACAGATATAATATTGCTCGTAAAAATCAGGTGAAATAACTTTCCTTCCAATCAAGAGAAACCCTTTATCTGCTGCTTTTATAGTGTATGGGCCAGTTACAATATCAGCACGTTCTCCATATGCTAATCTTTCTTTTATCCTCGGCAGAGTAAGAGCACCAACATATGGAGAATGTTCAATTTCGCTTTGTCTGAGGAACAAGTCTATTTTTTCATCGGTTAATCGAACTGTTGAGGCAAAAAGGACAAATAATTGGGGAGTTGAGGGCTGTCGGGAGAAATAAAAGGTGCAAAAAGAAGGATCAGAGATGAAGACAACCATTGTTTTGAGACATACTTAAGGATAAACACATTCTTTATTGGAAGTCTGCACAGTAATTCACACAAAAGCCACTCAGGTATATAACCATCTTGATTACCGCCGCCGTCATCCGACGGTAGATTCATGGTTCCGTCGGGCTCTGTAATCACAACAAACGGCTTCGTTTCTTGACGGGGTATTGGGTCTCCTTTTCGTTTACTGGAGAATGGCAGGCAGCAGAAAATCATCTTGCGATTGGCAACAGCTTTTGGAGTCTTGGACTCAGTGGGCTTTTTCTTTCGAGAACTGAGGAGAGTATATCTGATGAATTTGTATTCGATTTAGCTTTCTATATCTTTGGGAATTTTTTATATCTTATTATACCTTCATTGTTCTTATCCATGATGAATTAGGATCACCATCATCGTTGTTCGGGCTAAACCAACCTACAAAGCAGAAAGCACTGACACAAAGCTGTGTGACTGTAGGATTGAACCCAAATGTTGATTGCAGCTCTGTGTTTTGAAGAAGAAAAGAATGCCCGAAAAACTCATCTTTGCTCTTTTTTGGTGAAAGAAATATCACTAACAACAAAACTAACAAATATCGTAGAACATCATCAATAACCAGTAGATCTTACTGTTGAAGTGAGTGGAAAAGGGGGTGTTGAAGTAAGTTCTTTTCGTAGTTCATCGTTTTTTTTTTTTTTTTTTTTTTGTACCATTCATTGTTCATTAGCTTTTATTTCACTATTAAATTGCTTTTACGCTGACCCCAATACTACGTTAACTTCAGACCACCCTCTTAAATGTTACAGAGTTGCCTTTCTACTGAAACCAGCTGGCTTTTAGTCCTTTGGTATTTCATAGTTTCATTTAGAGGGGTCTCTTCCTTGTGTTGTGACCTGTTTTACGAACTTTATTAGCATCAGAAACTACTACAAGGTCAAAATCTTTGTCAACTTTCAGCAGCCAAATGCAGTTTCGTCAAAGAACATGGTGTCGACAAGGAGAAGATATTGCTTTGTCAAAAGAATTACTACAATTCTGTGAAAGAGTCTCAAATGAGATTTAAGAGTTACATAAACCAGCCTGCCTTCAATCCCAAGAGATTCAATTGGCATCCCCTAATCCTTTCTGTTCTTTGCTTTCTTGTTCAAGGTTCAAGAATCCATCATATTGAAACAGAGAGAAAGCAGTAAAATTGAAGTGAAAATCAACATGGCTAATTCAAGATGAATATATATTTCTTTATACAGTTGGTCATCACCTTTATGGTGATATAAAGAATGAAAACATCAACACATATACAACCACCTGAAAATTGTTTCTACTTCCTTGTACATCGAATTCTAAGAAATGTGAAGAACAATTCCCATAAATAAATAAACAATTTGTCTCCCTCCAGAATTCAAGAAGTTAAGAACTTTTCTTATATATATATTATGATCTCCTTCATTCAAGCTTTTCAACAACAGGGCTGCAGAACTCCCCGGCCTAATGGCTTGATATCTCGATCAAGATCCAATCTTTTTGGCCTTTTGGAAGAAATTTCTGAAACAGAGTCATCTGATAGAAACCTCTTCCGTCTTTGTAGAGCCGCAGAAGGATTTATTAACAGCATTGGTTTCATCAGCCACTCGAGGTCTTCGTCTTCCTCAGGAAGCTCCACTTCAGAAGTACTAATCAAACCTATTTCTTCTTCCTCTGCTTCTAATCCCGAAACAAAAGGGTGTCTCAACAGCATGTTAGCCGTCCATCTCTGTACTGGATCGTTAACCAGACACTTCTCCAGAAAATCTTTAGCTTCCTTAGAAAACCCTTCAGGAATTTCAACTCTCTGGTTTGCCATCTTTACTAGAAGCCCAGCTTTATCTTTAACTTTAGAGTTGGAGATATTTCTGAGTACTCTTTTTGTAAGCATCTCAAAAACAGAACACCCAAGCCCCCAAATATCAACTCCAAAATCATACTCATCACAAAGAATGGATTCCGGCGCCATGTACACCGCCGTTCCCCTCCAGGCTTTCCAATCAATCTTCGATTTATTCCTCCTCTGTTTCGTGCTACTTTTCTGAACCCTTTTGGATAGCCCGAAATCAGCAATTTTGGCGACATTGGATCCGGCGCCGGCGTCGACCAAAAGGATATTGCTGGGCTTGATATCACAATGGGCACACCCTTTCTCGTGAATATAACTCAGCCCCTTGAGAATCGATCTAGTGAGTCTCTTTACTTCATCCTCAAGCAACGGAGTCGGAGAGTAGTAAATCCGATCCAACAAACTCCCGCCGGCGGCGTATTCAAGCATAACATTATAAAAAATCACGCCGTCTTCTTGAGTAACCTCGGATCCGTAACACTGGATAATGTTGGGACAATCTTGCAGTTCGCTCAACAGAATCCTCTCCTCCTGTAATGGCTGCGAGAGGGAGAATTCCGACGATTTCACGGCGAACAGGGGAGGCAATTTCGGGTCCGAATTCACATCATCAGGTTGGAGGGAATCAGATGGAGAAGAAGATGATGACTTCGCCAAGGAGACAATACCATAACTTCCCTCTCCTAGAAGCCCAACCCTAGTCCAAGAAGACATCTTTTGCTTCCAGATTCGATTTCAACAAAGGTTGAAGAAAGCGAATTCAGTGTTTCGATCCGTCGAATGAAGGAGTTTCCTGTTCCGAGAGGTATGAGGGTATATATAGGGTTATTATTGCCTATTGGTGGGGGTGATCTGCTGTAAACAGGTTTTTAGCCGGTTACAGTTTACTCATTTGACTTAGTCGTCTTTCCTTGAAGAGAAAGTAGTCAGGAAATATTGGAAACATACTTTAACTAATTAATTATTAAAGAAGAAGAAGGAATAAAAAAAACGGAAAACGAGGTGCTTGAGTCCTTTTTTGAGTTTGGCCAGCGATATTATCAGTGCAATTTTTGAGTCTTTTTTTTTTTTTTTTTGGTTGAAATATGTAGCACTCGTCTAAATATTTATGTTGCAATTTTAGGTCCAAATGGGGGCAAGCGAACTTAACTTTGCTGCTAATCCAGCTACAAGCATAATGCGGATGACTGATTTATTTATGGTGATTCTCTTTTTTATTGATTAATTATATTTGATTGTATCATTAGTTTCTCTCTTGTTTTTTTTTATAAAAAATATGTAAGTAGTACTACACGTTTAAATGTTAGGCACAACAAATTCCTGGTTCTAATCAATCTCGGATTGGTGAATATTTGGGAGAAAAACAATTAAGTGGTTTTGACAATTTTGGGATTGGAGACAATCTGGGAAGTGTTCACTGCGAGGAGAAGTGGTTGTTCATTTCCATGTCTTGGAGACATATGTTGTACTTGCAGGGAAAATGACAAGGAGTGAGTTTAGTTTTGAATTATCACTGAAATGAAATTTTTATATGTAAGATAATTGAAGTTCTCATATATTTTCTGCTTGTGGCATACTATTTATGATAAAAAAAACAATGTCGACGGTACTTTAATCTTCAATTTTAGTTATGAATTGCTGCGTGCGATACCCATATGAGAGGTTGCATATGATGCATTTTGCATATATGACATACTACAGGTGATACAAGAATAGTGAAACATCATATTAGAGTTCAATTTCAGGTATTGCCGATTTGTCAATGTCTTTTGAACTCCAAGGCAAAGAAAAACAGAGAAATTCTATCTAGCTGAAGAGTATAAACTCCACTCAAGATCCAAGGAACACATAACTGAAATAATCTTAGTTTGATGGAACAAAATTACACATATGACCTGCAATCCCTTTGTTGAGATAATACGCTAAAGAAGCTAAATATTTCACTAAAAAAGAGCTGCCCAACGAGCCATTTCAAACCATCATAACAAATATATTCTCTTGCCATCTTCAACTAAGAACATGTAATAGGCCACCCATGTTTCCCCCTAGCTTGCGCTATATAATAGTAGTGCTCTTTCCTTTTCTTGTATTTGCTCAAATGACCTTGGTGTACTTGGCTGCTTGTTTTATATGTCTCTCAATTATATCAATCACAATCTCTACAAAAAGACAATCAAGCAAAGTATTACTCCACCAATTTCAATTTTGGCCAACACAATCAATGAATCCATTCTACATGAGCATGACAAGGACTAATGAATGCGACCATAAATATTTGAAACTTTAATTTACATCCGAAGCATCAAGGATCTACACTCGCACACTCACACTGTAAAAAATACACCAGTAATCAAATCACTATGATTGTTGAATGCAGAGCTGGTTAAAGACCCACTAATTATCAAACCCATTAAAATTTACAAACTTTACTAAAACTGATTTATCTTTTCTGATTAAATGGAATAATAAGAAAAGCTTCCGTTTATCTTCTTGGTCCTAGAATCAGTAGAACCACCGGTATCCATACTCTCCTCACTCAACAAATCAAGGGAACCTTTAGAGTTCCCATGCTAATCTGGCACACTGTTAGCAAACCGAGGAACCCACTTACCAAACATGATTGAGAGACGTTTTCCCCTTTTTCGGCGAAACCACTGTCGCAAACAACCTCATAACACCGCCGGATTACTCCGCCGATGAGTCCTTCACAGTGAAAGCACTTTAGACCTATTAGCAAACAGTATTATAAAGATTAAAGGCAGAATTGGCTTCACTAATTGGAAACTAACGCTATTGATTTAACCATTAACTTGAAAGATGCACCAATTGAAAATTAATCGATTCTTTTTTTAATTAAAAGTTAACCCATAACTAATAGCTAAAGTTGAAAGAAATCATACCATGGACGAAGCAAAAAATCCGGCACTCGAACCCGAAAGCAAAATGAAAGTGAATCCGAGAACGAAAAGAAAAATTGGATCGAGAAAGATGGAGAATTAGATGCGGGAGGGAGAAAGAGAGACAAAGGTGGAGAAATCTTAACCTTTTTCCAATTATAGTCGACTTGGCTCAAGCCTATAACTCAAGAAAATTATGAAAGTAAAAATTGAAGAGTAGATGGGTCAAAGGCCGAAACTAAAACCTTACAGAGGATCTGAACTGAATTTTTAGCTTCCAAAACAAAATTTGCACTGTTTTTCAAAATTGCCCTCATAAAGTCAAACCTTTATTTTTCTTTATCCTAATCACTCTCGTTAATATATCACCCCCCTAATCCCTTTCTCAAATATTATCTCCCTCCAAAATTTTTCAGCGATCTCCCTCCAAAATTAAAATTAAGGATCACAATGTTAAGGATTAGAGTGAACAATCAACATCTTCATCTTTGTGTGGGTAGTTTCACCTCATCATCATCTTCACTGGAGCCAAGAAGAGTTATGAATTGTGTTTAAATCTAGATGGAGATTCTATGCTCTTGGTTACTCAACTGATCCAGCATCATGCCAATTTTGTACTTTTACTTTGATTTGTGTTGTCATGATTACTAAACGTATTTTTCCCCAATACAAGTAGAGATCAACGTGAGTACTACATGTTGGTGCAATTTTCATATCAAGTGAATCTCAGCTACTGCTTCTGCTTGTTAACCACTGACTCAAAAAATTAACAATCCCTAAAATTACTACACAGAGCCACAATCACATATTAATACTCTATACCACTAAAACCAATCCAACATTCATGATTTAATTGTAAAACTCAATCCCAGTTCAATCTATTTTTTTTTCTTTCTTTTTTCCTGGAAAAGAGTTGATATACATTCAAGCATTAATTCAAACACTTGACATGCCTTTATATAGGACTTACAACTTAACAAACTCAAGCTCAGAAGAAAACTCAGGCACTAAGCAACATCTAATCAAACCGAAAAATAGAGAAAAATGTCTAAAAAAGATAGCTACGTACGAATCATGAACGATAATAATAATGAATCAGTCTTGAACAAAGTTGTCAGCCGAACTTGTTTGTCTGATCAAGTGATTAAAGTTTAGATTTCTAGTTTCGAAAAAGGCAATGATCTTACTCTTCAAAGCAAATTCTAGAGTTTTGGAAAGGCGATGGGGCTAGAGAGAGCCTGGTTAAGAAATAACCAAGTAGGAGATGAATGAAGCCTGCTAGATCCGGGAGAGAAAAAAAAAAAGTTATTTACAAGGACAATTTTGAAAAGAAATGCAAATTTTGCTTTGAAAGCTAAAAATTCACTACAGTATCACTGGCCTTTGAGTTTTTGTTCCTCATAGAAAATTATTACAAATACACTATCTGAATCAAATGGATGAAACGACACAAATTTACATAAATAAGCAAAGGAAAAATCCCGATGGATTTGAAAGATTTCATGAATGTCATTGGGTTTGACATCGAATACTAATCGAGAGTGGAAGTGATGGAGCCCAGTTTTTAATTTCTCCGGAAAAGATGAGGGAAGGAATTTTAAAGAGGTTGCCCTTCAAATTGGCAAGAAGAGACAGCCCCAACAAGCTTGAAAGAAGGAATCAATGTTAACTCTAATTTTAAGACGAAAAGAGTACAAAATATTTTTGATTGCCCTTCCAACTAGCTGTTATTGTGTAGAGTAAATTTGAATTTGCCAGAATATATGTCATATATTCTCATAAGATCCACAGAATTCAAAGTATATAATCCTCCTGGCAAAGCTTGTGGAAGTGCACAATTAATCTCCTCACTTCTTTCTTCAATACCAGCTGCCTCTCTGAGCTTGCCTTCCTTCCAAAGACTTTTCACGAGCAAATCTTTGGTAGCAATATCAGGAGCTAATCCAGAGTTCAGCATGTCCTCGAATACCCTTATCGCGAGCGCTGCCCTTTCACATTTGCAATAAGCGCGAATCAGAACTCGATACATGAAGGCATCTGGCTCTAGATCACTTTGTCTCACCATTCCAAAGAGTCTTTGCACCGTTTTGATATCCCCCTCTACAGCAAAATGGTGCATCAAGCCGGAAAAGGTTTGTATCTCTGGAACAACCCCGACTAAGATCATCTCTTCGAGTATGTCCAACGCTTCTGCATTCATCTTGCACTTGGTCAGCGTCCTTAAAATAGACGTATATAAAATCAGAAGGCCTCTCCTTGAAATTGGACCACAAATTGTTTTAACATTCTGAAGAATCTTCAGAGCAGCCTTTCCATGGCCAGAAAGGCCATAAGAGTCGATTATTAATCTAGCTGTGCTGATTGACAATGGTATACCCTCCTTATCTGACTTAGACAAGAGCTGATCAACCAAATCAGTGCATCCATGGCGGGCCAGTTTGACAACCATCCTCGACATTGTATACACGTCATGAGTGAATCCTGGCTGATAAGCAACCCAACAGAAAAACTGCCAGGATGTTTGAGCAGACCGGAAGCTCCTGATCATCTTGCACACTAATCTTGTAGTCCATATAATGTTCGCATCCTCCAACGCTGATACCTCTTCGGGTCTCCAGTACTGCAAGGCACTAGCCAAGGCCGCAGGATCTAACCAAGGTTTTAACTGTACTTGCTCAGCATCCTCCACATCGGCATGATGATCATTTTCTTCATGAACCTCAACATCGTCGTCACTACCATCCAACGTATAAGCGATACTCTTTATCCTTCCATCCGGAACCATTTCTTTTATCAACTCATTTGTCTCTTCAGCACAGCCTGCCTCGTGCAGTCGTTGCAAAGAGCTCTGCATAGCTCGACCAGGCAGTATGCCATCAACTCGCATCTCATTGATCAAAGTCCTCACAATGTCTAATTGATCCTTCCGACAAAATGCATCAACCAGAACAGAGTACTGCTTCAAGCTACGCTTGATTCGCATCTGTGGCAGTAATTGGAAAACTTCAAAAGCAGCAGATAAATTATTTGAGCAGATAAGATGCTCGATCACGATCGTGTATGTTCTCGAATTAGGAAGCAACCCTTCATCAATTATTCTGCGAAACAACACCACAGCCTCATAATCTTTTCCATTCTTGGCCGAAAGAGACATGACAATGTTGTAAGCCTCAGTACAGGTAGGCTTATTCGAAGCCCTCCATTCATCCCATACACTAACAACCTCGTCGAGATCTCCAGCAAGGGAAAACCACAGCATCCTATTCATGAAACTAACACGAGCAACATTGGTAAACTTCCCAGAATCGATAGCATTGATCAGGGCTCTAAGCTTACTCGTTTGCCCGCATCTTGCAAGAATCTTAGCTAATGTATAGAGGGTTTGCTGATTATGTGAGAAACGTGAGATATTTTTCAGTTTCTCAATCAACAAGAGCGCAGAATCAGGGGAAGGCGCTGATTTTAGTGCGTTATTGACAACAAAAGCATCCAATGCAGGACTCTGCAAAAGAGGAAGAAGGGATTCTGGAGAATTGGAACGGAGGCTAAGCCTAATTGAATCAATAAGCCTGGATCTCTGGAGGTACAAAGTGACCTTATTGACATCTGGGACAGTCGAAAAAGTGCAAATTCTTAAGGATAGATTTCCCAAAATGCATGACACACGGCGGTGGAACCCGGTAAGGTACATAAGAAACCACCTGCAAATTCAAGGCAGAGGAAGTAATGATAGCCAATCTTGCCCGTCACTGGAGGCAAATGATTTCTGCAAATCCCGAATGAACTTCGGGAGAGTATGCGGTATATGAAAATTTGCTGGTTAGAGAGATTCAGAAGAAGTAAGAAAACAGAAGCTTTCAGGGACAAACGATCGAACATTTAGCGTGCACTCGAAAAGACGGACAAATTTTTAAGCTGGTTAAGATGGATTGGGCTTGATAACATACTTGGTTAACTTTAGCTTGCGTTTCTATAATGAGCTGTGGTGGACTGGTGTTTACTCCTTTGGTTCATCCAGTTTTAGTACTATGTATTCCCTCCTGTCCTTATTATAAGGCATTTTGATTTTATAATAGGTTTCATTTAAGATATGTTTTTAATTGGAATAAAAACCTTAAAAACATTTCATAATAATTAGGAGAACACAACTAATATGAAAATATATTTTTAAGATTTTTTTCCAATAAAAAAAGACACCCTAAATTAAACCTAAGACGAAATTAAAAATTCAAAATGCCTTATAATAATGACTGGAGGGAGTATTTTGTTTACTTTCTACAATATGAGAAGACATTTACATGCAATATGTATCTACTTCGAGAAACCAAACATTAAACAATGACAAGCTACTTTATATATTTTGATGGCTAAAACAAGTTTTAAATTTGAGCCCTTTTTTTTGAAATATATATATATATATATATTTGTATTTTTTAAGCGTTATCAAATAGCCCTAATAACAACTTAGTTTAATTCCAACACTTTTAAGCCACTAAACTAATACCACTACCACCGATTTGTTATCACTCTTGCTCGAACATGATTAATACAAAAAAAAAAAAAAAAAGTTCTAATAAAACAGAAAAAGAAAATACATGCTATACATTAATATATAAACTATAATCTATTAACAAAAGAATAGAGTATATTTGAATAAGTTCCTTGACTGAATTTTTTTTTTTTTTTTTGCCACTTAGAATAAATATTGGAAGATCAAGTTTATTCTTAAAAAATGGAATAAAACTAAAGCATGCCAATATCCACTGATACACTTCTTGGAATGTCATGTTGAAAACCTTTGAATTGTACTCTCCTCGTCCCAAAAAACTAGTCTAATTTAATAAAAAATCTTGTCCAAAAAACTAGCCCAATTTTAGAAAAAGACAAACTTAAAAATGAGTAAAATGGTTTTGTTTTTTAATACGTATTTTTAAGTGTTTTTTGTATTGAAAATATAAAAAGATATATTAAAAATATAAAAAAAGTAAATTGAGATGGGACAACTATCATTTTATTAATCTTAAAAAACCATTAAAAAAAAAAAAAACTAAGCAAACAAAGCCTTAATTGCCTCTAAGGAGAAAATTCAATCAGTCCCCAAATTTCGAACAGCCTTTGGCCTGAATCGATCAACCATTCGATCAGCAAAACAAATTCCTCAATTTGGCCTGAAATGGGTGCCAAAACAATTGGAATCTGAAGGGGAAACGTCACCGGAGCATAGAGGAGTCAATTGCCACATATTTCGACAGAAAAATTACCCCCAAATTATCGGTGCCAGTGACTTGTCCAGCGAGAAAGAGAAGAAGCAAAGCAACTATGAAATAGATCGATCGAACTCCTTGATCAATGGCTTTGATAGATCTCATTAAGGGGAGCATTTTGGTTTGAAGTTTTCTTATTTTCATGAAGAATTAATGAATATCTATTTTGAACGGTGACCGGATTCCGTTGCCGGCCGTAACTTTGTCGTGGAGGAAGAAGAAAGGAAGTTACCAAAAAAAATAATGAAGTAACGGGAGAAGAAGTGGTAATCAATGATGTCTCCGGCAGTTGGCGGCTGTTCTTGCCGACGTCCAGAGATCGAAGGAGAGAGAAACGAGTTAGTAAAGTGCTGGAAATGAGATTTTCTAACGAAATTTTCAAGTGGGGTAAAATTGGAGATAATAATGAGTTGTATATTGTTGGATTAACCAAATTAAAAAAGTCATACATTTTAAAATTGGACTATTTTTTTAAATGAAAGAAACATAATAAACATCATTAATTCTTAATTAGAAATTTGTTAACTGAGTTGGGTTTTAAAAGCAAAATATGAATCATGCATGAACCGAGATCAATATTTGAATTTGCCAAAACTAAAGGCAAGTGAAACAAAGTCTAAATTAAGTACCAGCACAAAAAATATCTGAGTATTAGGAATTACCAAAACTAAAAAACAACCGAGACCCTACAGGCTACAACAGTATATAAAACGCTAAAATTACCAAACACAAATTAAAGAGTTTATTAGGAGCAGGAAGTCAAAATGAGGGAGTGAGACGATATTCTCCTCAAAATGTGTCCAGCCTCCTTGAAAGATATCAGACATTGCTCTCCAATCAATGAGTTCCCAGGCAGGCATTTCCACCTCCCTTTTAGGCAGATTATCAAGAAAGGATATATTAATCCCAATTCTTTGAACCTCCCTATTGGACACATCCAAAAAGTCGAGCCCGGTTGAAAAACCATGGTAACCACCAAGACGCATTAGCATCTTTCCATCAGGAAGTATTACCCAAAGCAATGGGTTTAAATCCGTCATCATACAAAGCAAAGGATGCTTTTTTTTAGCTCGTTTCAGCTCTGGTACAACGTCAACCCAAACTCCTCCTCCTCCTCCTCCTACGCTCTCATCTGTACCATCACCACTATTAATGTCATACCGTAGGATTTGATGTTTGGCCAAGTGACGCCCAAAAGGTTTTGTCACCACTATGCTAGGTCCGAAATTCACTAGCTTCATTAATGGCTTCTTGTCCTAATCCCTTGCATTATAATCCAAACCTTCTCGAGGCCCTACGGGGTGAGGCAATGTGGATAAAATTCTCCTTTGCAAGATCAAAAGCCGTAATTTAGAGACCATTGTCGTCCATCCAGCAAAGAACGAATTAATCTGGTGGATAGTTCTCCATGACGAATCCACCCCAATGCTGAGAATCTCCGCATGAAACCAGGAATTCTTACGGCGGCATGTCTTGAGTAATTTGAATCGCTGGTTGACTGGGTCGAAACCAAGGTGGAACTTATGAGTCGGAACATTGTTGTAATCGACATCATAGTCAATATTATACAACCACGAATTCGCGCCCTAAGGCTGGTAGAAACATATTACACCATTCACCACATTAATTAGTACGTCCTCTTTCCTGTTGGTTTTTTCTCGCTAAGAACCACAAAATGATGAGGCAGGGTGATGTACAAGAAAAATGTCTTGAGAATATAACGCTTCCCGTGGGGGTAATCAACACAGTAGATTAGACCTTGCGAGCCACCGCGGTAGGACTTGGTGAAGGATGGATCTTCAATCATTGAACACCAAGTCGGGGACACACATTTGAATCGCATCAGGGACTTTATTGGAAGCCGTGTTAGAATTTCCCGGACAGAACCATCAGGGATCCGGTTATCGGACGAAAGCCCTAAACATCAACAACAATGTAAGGTGAAAAAAGAAAAAAGAAAAAAAATATTCCCTCCGTCCCATAATTATTGTCCAGTTTGAGTTTTAATTTTAGTTCAAATTGTACTAAAAGCGAAATCTCAAATTGGACAATAATTTAATTTTGAGACAGAGAGAATATATATTTGCTCCGTCCCAATATTATTTTTTACGTTAGATTTTAACTTTTAATATATTCATAGCTAAAAATTAAAAATTCAAAATCACATAATAATATCAGGACGAAAGGAGCATAAAGTTTAGATCCGCCATTTAACAACAAATCAAATAGAAGCAAGCAAGCAAGCAAATATTGTGGTTAAATTGCGCTCTCCATAAACATCTGAAGCAAGCTGACCTAACTTCTTCGTCATTCGGCAGCAAAAAGTCCAATCTAAAGTAAGACGAATAGGCTTGTATTGTTTTGGCCTGCACTATTAGGCAGACTGGTCAAACGAGAATAAATCAGACACAATCTAGGTCCGCAAGAACAGAGATATCTTGACAGAGGAGATTACAAATTCTATGTCTACCCATTGTATTTGTATTTATAGACAAAGTAAATAAGTAAATCCAAAACGTAATAGGGAATCAAACCTAATAAGTAATAAACAGTAGAAATTCAAGGCATAATGAACCACACTTTTTCAAACCCACAAAATAAATGGATATATTTTAACGAAGATAAGCAAAATCTCTAAGCACTGTGTTAGCCCCCTTACAAACCCCTTGGTAATTAATTACATGAAATGATAATTGTTAAGGCAAATATATAGATAGAGACTACGCACAGTAAACCCTTGCGGATGAGAGATGTCAATATGGAAGTGATCTAACTCACATAATCCCTTATAACTTCCAGCAACTTTCGTTACTCTTTGAAGTATAACCATTGATATTTTTAAAAGAGTAATGATATAAGCAAGGAAAATTATAACAAGGTGTAATTCTTGGAGAGGAGAGATAATTGAAGAGGAGAGGAAATATATACAATTGTTCAGGTACAAAGTACAAGCTGAGGCTTTTGAAAAAAAGATTTCTGCAGGTTCGATATCATCATTGTAAAAATTACTGTCTATCTCTTAGCCTACATGATGTTGCTATTCTTTTTTCTTGCTACAATGTTATCCTAATCACTATACTCGGATGATGAAAACTCCAAGCCCTTATACTGACCATCCATTTGATCTCTACCCCCAAATCTATGGTTCCCTCCTTCAGAATCACTACTAAAACTTCCTTCCATAGCATCCTCTCTTTGTCTATTATTCCCACGACCATCCTCTTCCTCGTCTACATAATCTTCGTCTTCTTCATCGACATCATCCTTCTCATTGTCCTCACCAGCAGCGAAGTCGAGAGCCTCCATAGAGGGTGTCGATTTCCCAAGGAGACCGCCCGAGTAATCATCTATCGCGGCATCATCGTAGTCGTCCCCAGCTGTTTGGCCATTCTCATCATCAGATTCTGACTTCTCTGAGCTGCTGAGATTTCCAGCTTCGTCAGCCAGAATAGGTGTTGCTGCTTCTGCAGACCATTCTTGCTTATCATACAAGCTAGGAGACTCTTCATAAATGCCGGGGCTGGCAATATCTCTTCTTCCAGCAGTTCCCGATGCCTTTTTCCCCGATTTCAGCCTAGTTTTAACTGTACGACGACCCCCCTTACGACCACCACGTCCACGTGTTCGACCCTTCCACCTAGGCAACCCCGCAAATTTATCCACGTTTGTTGCAGTTATTCCTTGACCGGGTCTAGATTTGGCCTCTGAAACACTTCTCTGAGGTCTCCCAACGTATATACTAATGTTTCCCGCCCTGCATCCTGAGCTGCTACGCTCTGTGCCTGGACCATCCCAATTATCTTTTGGCACATTAGTATCATGTGGAGGATCCTTAAATGGAGTCTCTGAACTATTCCTGGTAGCAATACTTCTTGGTGGAATTGTCTGATAAAGGGAGGAAAAGGGAACCACGATGACATCAGAGACATCCACACAAATCACTTTAACAAGATGACAACAAGTAAGGCTAATCAGCGTAACCTTACAAATGAGATTGGTAAATGAAATATTCAGCATGCCCGAGAACCAGACAAGAATCTACTATTCGCAACAAGAAATGTCACAAAACCCAATTTTAACCTGCCTTACGAGGGCTTTGTACTACTAAAAGAAGCATGAAATTGGAAGGCAATTAGAAGAGGAAAAAGAAAAACAAAACAGAATTCTTGAAGGCAATAAGGTTCTTCAAATCAGAAGTAAAGTGATAATCTAACATGCCGAGGAAAGAATCTACTTCATAGTAATGGACAAGAAAATGCTTACAATTACATGTTTGGATCCTTTCTCTTTCTCAAAATCTTCCTTCTGTTTCAGGGAGTAAAATATTGAGTTATCAAACTCCATCAATCTTAGCGCCACAGCAGACGATGTCTGGGGTATCCATGGAAGCACTGCAGTTACATCAAGGACAGGGATGCCACCAACTGGATGTCTCATTGTACTGTAACCCAACAATTCAGAGGTCGTCTCAAAATCTGAGGCTATGAAATCTCTCTTTACAGCACTCTCCAGTAGCGTCAGATTCTGGAATTAGAAGTTAAGACTATCAGCAAAAAAATAATTAGACTAAAACCATCACAAAAAGGGACCAAAGAAACCAAATAAAAAAAGGTCCACTAAACAAATGGAGATAGAACGGAACATATGCAGAGTCCAGAAATGGCAACTGACTACTCCAACAAAGAGGCGGATAGTTTACAGATTTTTAGTTAATCAATGTAAGTGGCAACCAAAGAGGTCATTGATGAAGACAAAATTATTGAGTTGAATCAAGAAACTAAGAAAATGCTTTAGGACATTTGAACAGTCTGGTAAATTACAATAGGCTGTATCTCCTTGATTCTTCAATTTTAGGCTACTAGGCTGCTGTTCAAAACATGAAGTATACATCCTCCTTCACTCAAAGCTAGGTAACATTATGGTATTTCACATGAACTAAATCTAATCCCGTAATAGAAGAGAACAATTCCGACCTCCAAGGACACAAATGAGAAACATCAGACCCATACCACATTATAAACTCGCAGTGGATGAAAGTACCTGAAGGATGTCTTCAGAAGTTGATGCCCCTTGCAGTTTCCTACACCATGATATCCGATAATCTTCTGTCCAAAAAGCCTCAAGAGCTTCCGGCAGAAGGGCAGCCTTCACCATGAGCAAAGAAACAAAAAACTACCATCATAAATATTTATCTTTGACCAAATCAGGACAGGAGTTGACCTTTTAAGCAGAAATAAGGAGTGCCTGTAAAGAAGAAGAGAAAAGAAAAGAATGAATCTGGAGTGCTTGAATTGTTTACCTCAAGGAAAGCTAATTGGGCTTTCAGTAGTCTGATCCTCAAGGTAGGTGACGACTCCATTTTGGCTAAATTACTGCTAATCTCTGCTTCATATTTCTCCTGGCACTTCGAAACATGTTCTTCAAAGCTTGAATTTTTGCAACTAATACTGTAATTTGTATGGCAGAAGGAACAGTGCTGGTCCTCAGGGAAGTACAGATCATGACAACGGGTACAAATGTTAAGCAACTGTTTGCGTTTAGCCGCCTCATACATCAAAGCACGCCATTTCATGGAATTAAAACATTCTTCCCAGATCCACTTCTCAAAATCTTTATATCTCTTCAAGCTTTCAATTTTCTCCAATTCAGAACTTCTAAGTTTGATAGCAGTAATTGCTGCTGTTGCCTCAAGATCTAAACCAGATATCATGCTTTTAGGGCTCTCTTCACCCTCTATTTTCAAATCACCTCCATCTTGGCGTTTCAAAAACAAGCACGAATTCCTCCCAGCAGTTTCTCTGAAAGAAGTTTCAACTCTCCGCAGCATTGAATGCAAATGAGACTCTCTAATTCCACGCACATCTAAAGATGCCAGCAACGCATCAAAATCCTGCACAATAAAAGTAACATTGATCAAACAGACCTTTTAGAGGGCAAAATTCAAATCAAACGGTTTAGGGAAATGTTGTTAGCAATAGACCTCTGCAGAATCAATGATCCTCCAACGACCATCATGTAACTCCACAAAAATCCTGCCAGTGCCAGGATCACTACGAGAAGATGATGCAATAAATTGCCAATATCTATTACGTCTTCGATCTTGCCCAAGAGGCAATGACTTGTACACATATATCTCCTCCGCCCTCTGGGAAATATAAGCTTTTATCTCTGATCGAGACTTCTCGGCAGCATATATGGATTGGGGAATTAAATCAGCACCGGGCAACTCTGGAAATGCCACATTTCTATCAGCAGGAGTATTATCAGAATAATTTGGAATTCTCTCGGGATCACCTAAATTTTCTAGGTGATTGGCTGGGTCTGCCGATTCTGCTAAGGAAGAAATATTATTCTCGGATCTGTTCCCTGGGAGCAGTGGATAGTGCACCTTCAATGCATAATGCTCTCTAAAGCGACGCTTGTCGAGCTGTGCATCTGCCCACATTTGCTTCTTCAACGTATTTGCTGCTTCCAGGCGTTCCTGGACAGATGGCTCGTTTAGAATTAGCAAGTTGATGATAACAAAACAATTAATACCAAACAAATATATCTCAACTAGCTAAAGTTTTTTTTTAAAAGAGCAGAAGATAAATACCTCTAAAACAACACGAATGGAATTTCCTTCATTAGCTATGCCAACTAAAGCAACAAGTGCATCTAAGCGCTCTTCAACACTTAAATCACAATAATCGCCTTCTGTTAGTCCTAGTACCCAAATTTCACCAAGGTAGCTCTCATCAATCACAATTTCTTCTTGATTGGATACCGCCACATGACTTTCGGCAACAGCAATAACGGCAGCAGACTGATCAGCAGATGCTCCAGCACCCTTTAGCTTCAGTTCTTCACTTTGATCGACAACATTTAAACTTCTGTCTGGACTTGCACAGTTAGTAGGCGTCACCTTCATAAAATCATTATGCAGTTCTTTTCTATCAGCAGAAGAATGCATGCCCTCACAACTGCTTGGTTCCCAAGAATGAGGAGCGTCCTCATCTAATTTCAGTTCATTATCTAAATCATCCACATCAGGATCATCGGGCGCGTCACTTTCTGATTCCTCATATCGATCTGCATCATCAGGCTCTTCTGTCTCCAAAAATTCATTCTTGTAAGCTTGAATCTTGTCCCGAGCAGCAGCAAGTATAGCCTCAGCGTCAGCAGGGTCTTTTCTGAAGGGAGCACGCACACAATACGTGGAAGGGGCAGTTCTCTCGAAAAGCTTTGTGTCCCTGGATAATGCGGCAGCAATGGATGCTTCTGGAGTCTTACTCGTGGTAAGATCTCGAAGACCAGATTTCTTCAAATACGAGAGAGAGAGAGAGAGAGAGAGATTTAGGAATTACTCAACTGAAACAAGAGGAAGAAAGACGTGTGGTTGGTCTAGGCCTACCTGAATCTTCTCAGCTGCTTCCATTATTGTAATGCCCTTGCTTCCCTCAAGTGAGAGGATATGAAATGCGGCATATTTTACTGTTCCAGGTGTTAGCCGGTGTCCAGATCTCCGAAGATTTGAAATACCCCGTTGTCGCATTTTGGCAACAGCATTCTCTGCAGCAGCTCCAGTCCGCAAGTCTGATATGATATCTACACCATCATTGCCCTGCAGGCATATTCAAGATCAACGACAAACACTCAGGAAAATTGCAAAAACAATAAGCGATTTTTTCAAACCCAAACCTAGGTCTACTCCAAGGAAGCACAACACCCTAACCGTTAGGTTATTCAATTCCCACATAAGCAAATTATATTCATTATCTTTGAAAACCTAATGAAATGATAATCCCCCCCAATTCATGAAATAAATTGAAAAAGTGCTATCAAAATCAACATCAGCATAACTAGCATAATCTCAACCAGGAGGGGGCTGTGAAATCAGATGTACACAGCCTTACCCTAGTAATTATACAAAAAGGCTGTTCACGTTGAAACCCAAAATTCATAGCATCACTCGATGTATTGATTTCCAGCAACTTCACTAATAGAAGAAGCACTAGAATTCAATAGAGCCATTTTGATCTCGTACATTATTAGCACAAAGATAAAAGAATTGTCAATGATGACTTTCCAGTTATTTGCAATGAACATAATAATTGAAAAGTGCTACGATAGGGGAATTTCAAATCACAGAACTCGTGCTTTGTAGGATCTAAAAGCATATGATAAGAAACCATGCCATGCACTCAGGTTCCAGGTAAAATTTCTCGAAACCCATTTTCTACGAAAGATGAGACCAAAGAAAGCAGTAAACAGTCACTGAATTTTTCTATAATTATTGTTTTATAAGATCACTGACATCTGTTCCAATATTCAAATATAATGACACATCTAAACTTGAAATTTTGGACTAAGAAAACTGTATTACTGCAGAACGGTAAAACAGTTATACCTCATTTTCATCATGAAGAGTATTACTACAGAGCAGTAAAACACTTATACCTCATTTTCATCATGAAGATTTGCTCGCTCACAATTAGTCAATTTTGGACCAAATCCTGCAGCTAAAGCTAACTGCCTCAGAATTTCAGGCCATGTCAATGGATTTAAGTGAAGTTTCCAACTTCTTATATCGAAACCCCAAGCATAAGCCTAAAAAAAAAACAGATTGATACTAATCAAATAAGAAAGGAAAACAATAGCTATAACTCAAATACCAAAAGAGGACTTTGTTGGAGAATACCCCTTCAACAATATGTGGATGACCACCTCCAGGGTTGGAAGTTTGATTCGCCCCAACTGCAGGGGCAGGAATCTTAGCAACATCTTCAACATCTTTAATAATGTTTCTCATGAGGGCTATGTGTATCTCTCCCAGCAACCTTGGCTCCTAAAAGTAGTAAAATGTTATTATCCTATGTAGAGCTCATTCATAAAGAAAATCAGATTTCAAGCACTTACGTAATCATGTAATCCTTGGACAAATTCGTCCAAAGTGAAGGGCCAAAGACCAAGAACATCAGAGAAAGTTGTTAAGAATCTCCAAACCTAAACAATCAGAGAGAAACACAGTTTTCAACGGATTAACCACTGAGTAGGAAAAATTTAAGAGTAGTTTACATGATTGTGAAATTTCTAGAAGGTTGGAAGACAATTTTCAAGAAGCATACTAAGATGTAGAGATATCTAATCTTCACAAGTGACAAATAATGTATGCATGGGGTCAAGAAAAGAAAGCTAGAAATATATCTCTTTAAACTACAAAGGACATTCATTACTAAGTACTAAGAAAATGGTATACAACCTAAAGCACTCTACTTTATCATCAGGATTTAAGATGCAGTTCCCACGTTGAGCACAATTTTCTCCATCAATATCCCAAACTGAGTCCATACGCAAATATCTTCATCATTCATACAATCAAGGAGACGTGTAAAGAGAGATTCCTTTCATCACAATATCTTTGCCTACTAGAAAAAATAAAGACAACAGAGCGGAATGCATCTCTAACATGATGACACATAAATAACTTATGTACATGATACTAACCATTAAAACGTTGCCAACTTTCATCTCGGAATCTACCCAAGGCTGTACGCCAAATGGTCTTTTCAAGTTCACAGTCTTGGGAGGAAAATCCGTAAGGGCGTCTGAAGAAAAAAGTCATATCACATATCAGAAAGGGGAAAAAACAAAGAACATGGGTAATGAGGATGTTCAAAAATAAAAAATAAAAAAAATTATAACCATGTTAAAAGCAAGAAAATTACAACAACGAAAAAACGGGACTCATCATTCTTAAAATTACTCAAACCACATTCCTAACCTAGCTCTTGGGAAAATTTACACAAAGATTTTAACAATGAAAACCACACTCAGAGGCTTATTAAAAAAATGTTCACCAGAGAATCAAACACATGACTAACGAAAAGTGGATAATTTTATCTTACCAGCGCATAAAGATTCCAATTCTAACAATAGTAACTAAACTAAACTAAGTCATAAATATAAAATTTTTATCGCTCCAAGATATGTTTCTTAGATCTATTATATGCATATGATAGACATAAATATAAAATTTTTATCGCTCCAAGACATGTCTATCATATGCATATAATAGATCTAAGAAACATATCAATATGGCGCGATTACCTTCAAATGAAGCAAGATTCTGCAGAGCTTCGCTGTCAAGAGCCGAAACAGAGGGCAACCCCCTGCTTGAGGCAGCTAACTCCATAAGTTCCAAATGTTCATCATCTAGTAATTCAATTGATTCCTTTGCAATCCGGCGAGCTTTAGCCCTAAACTGAGCAGCTCTAAGCCTTGCAGCTTCTTTTTCTCTCCGCATTTCTTCTTTAAGCCTCATTTTCTCTGCCTGGTGCATGCATTCATGTGAGAAATGTCAGATCAGGTTACCACATTAAAGCAGAAAATATGATATCGATAGCAGCCAAGAAATACCTTTATAGACTCTTTCTGTAGAAACTTCTCCCGCCGTTCCATTTCGCGCCTTTGCTCCCTCTGATACCTCTCCTCCTCTCGTAACTTTTCACGCATTAGCCTTTCTTCCTCCTTCCGCCTTTCCTTATCTTGCCTCTCCATCTCCTTCCTCATTTGCTCTTCTCTCTAAACATAAAAGCTAGAAGGTTATTCTACAACAAATGAATCCCAACTAATTCATCCTCTGCATCATTAAAAAAGAAAAAAAAAAATGGAGAGAGGAAGAGAGAGAGAGAGAGAGAGATAAAAGGACAGAAATTATAAGAAATAAAAACCAAGAGTCCAAGAAGTAAAACCTTTCGCCTTAACAAATCCTGCTTCTCAAGTTCTTTCCTGATTCTCTTCTCATGAGCTTCAACTTCCTTCGCAATTCTTGCCTCTTCAATCTGCAGGTTGTAAACCTCCCTGTTATACCATTTTTTGGACATGGAATAAAGATGTAGGTACATGATGAAGATGTTAAGTCGGAACCATAGCCAGCAATGCAACCTCACAACATGAATAAAAGTTTACATAACTATACAAGTTTAAAAGATCTGAGGCACATACAATGAACCTATGAGTTTCTACAGAGCAAAAAAATATGATCCATACAGCCAACCCCATTTATGGGATGAAAGCTTAGTTGTTGTGTTGTATGTATAATGAATTTATGCTTTCAAACAAATAAAGCAAACAAACTCCACTTGCAGAAGCCTAGAACACAGGCAGAGTTGAGGTGGGTCGAAGCATTATTAAAAGATAGCAAATTTGGCCCTCCTCCCAACCAAAATGATAAATAAATCACATAATAAAAATAATAGAAGCCCTCGGATCTTAGCTAAGTACAAACCTTGCGCTTCCTCTCGATACGCTGCTCCTCGTCATGGATGCCCCGTCTGTAAGACGGTAAGAATGACGTTTCAGGCCCCATTATAGGATGAGAAACATGTGCATCCGTGTCAGTATCCACAAAAGTGTTCTTGGGTGGAACATTATCAATCTGCCCTGAAGGTGGATATATTTGATGGCCCTGGCTTCCAAGTTGGGGAGCCAAATTTAAACTTGACAATTTACCCTGGAAACCATAAGCAGGATGCAGCTGCTCAGATCCATGCATAGAGGACCTCATAGCAGGCAATGGAGTCACAGAATTTTGAGCATCTATTGGGGAGCCATACTGATGGATAGAAACATCTCTTTCGCGAATATCATCTCTAAGAGATGGCTGCTCTGGAAGAAACTGATATTCGTGGATGGTCCTCTTGCCACCCTATTAAATATACAGTCCCAACTAACTTTTAATCTCTGACTAAACAAAATCCAATACAATTTCGGCAAAAGATCTCAAAAGGAAGAAATACAAATAAAATTGGGAAACCAATTCACAAGAGATTACATTTGAAGTAAACTATATAATACAGCCTGATTTAACATGGAAAATATCTCAAGACAAAAACAGCTAAATGCATAATAGCAAAATGCTGTCCCCACCGTTTTCACAGTTCGATATGACAATATAACTCATCCATAAATCAAAAGCCACACAAAATACACACTATATCAGGGCACAATATCCACATTTTCAACTGTCAATAAAACAACTGTCAAGTGAATGAAAACTATATACATACTTAAACATACTTCGAGAAGTCATAAAAGATGAAAACCCAGTACGTAGAATTCAGATAAAGCTTCTGGCTGACCACATATCTAAGAATAAGCAGGCCAAAAATAGGGAAGCTAACCTGTATGACTTTAGCGTCCGGGCTCTCGAATACTTGAGTCTCATAAAGCCGTACACTTGGTTTCTGGGGTCCTGATGCCACTGTTAGTTTAAAAACGAACCAGCTTCAGGGCAAAAGTACACAGGGCATAACATGAAAAGTTGCATTCTAAATTGTAACTGGAAAAGGAGTAATGATACAATCCTTTGCACATTGATCCTAAATTAAAGCACTACAGCCAAAACTAAACCGTAATGCACGATATCCGATATCTCAACACACCCAAAGTAGGCATTTAAAAGAACCAACAACTCCTTGTCACTTTCAGAAACTAACAAAAACACCAAATACAGTTCTAGACCTTCCATTTTGAACCAAAGGCCCAGATGGAGAATTTTAGCATGGACCCAAATAAATATATAACACAAAATAAGCATTACAAATCATTTCAAGGTATTACATGAGATTGTTAATAGCACCTAGATAACCTCAACTCCTAATAATCCCTTGTATTCAAGATTGATTGAGCAACTCTGGCTCGTCCTCTAGATAGCCTCAATATGTGGGAATATTTCTTCTCTTAACCATATGTTAGGCAATCCCGCATATGAAATAGTGGACACAATTAGTTTCTAATCAACAAAAAAATTAGTTGGCAACCGATTTGTAGCAGAAATTCAATCAACAGAGGTAATCCAGAAATCAATATTGTAGGCCACATAGAAATCAATTATTCCTGTAAACATTTACCTAAAGGAGAACCAAATGCTCCGGGTGGCAGTGGATCAAACTCCATTCCAAGAACAGGACCATCCTCCCGCAGTCGCTCCCCTAATTGTGCTTCCACAAAAGCAATAGCTCTAAGCTCGGACAAGGCTTGGGGAGGTTCATAAAACCTCTTTACAGTCGGCAATTCAGGTCCAATCCTAGCCAAAGCAGTCCCCGTACGATGAGCAACTCTACGGTGATGAATTTCCTTAGGCCTAATTGTATTTCGCCCTAATGTCATACCGTGATCGTTCCCCTGCTCAGCTCCATGACCAACCATCATTTCTCCACCTGCCCCACTGGACAATCCAGGCGCCATTCCCGGAGAAGCCTCCTTCTTTGCTCGCTTCTCTGCTGGGCCCTTACGGTCCTTCAACCTCCTGTGACAGAACCACATTTGCAATTGCCGATCAGAAAGCCCCAATTTCACAGCCAACTCTGCTCTTAATGCCTCAGATGGGTATGTCTCCACTACAAATTCAAATTTTGCACGGTTAAGAAAAATGCATCACATAACTCTTATTCAACTCAATTTACATTTACATTTAAAAAAAAAAAAAAACCATCTCATTTTCTCTCCAAGCAAGTGAACTGAACTAAAAAGGATCATTTAAAAACAAGAAAACGCTTAACATAAGGAAAATGGGAAAAAGTGATGCAAGTGCAAATGACTCACCAGTATAAGCTTTCTCAAGAATTTCCAATTCGGCAGCAGTTTTCATTTTCCTCTTCACTTTAGGCTCCCCTTCTGGTACACTCTTCTTCTTATCCGGCTCAGAGGCACCCCCACCACCTCCTCCAGCTTCAACCACCTCAGCAGCAACAGAGCCACCGCTTCCCCCACCATCATCAACGTCCATTTAATCCCCCCAAAATCAAATGATTTCTCCCACAAATAATTATAACAATTGTTTAAAAAACCAAAAACCTTCAGCAGCAGAACACCTCACCCAAAAATCCAAAACACAAAAAAGAGAAAATTTAACTCATCCCCTCTAAGCCCACCAAAAAAGTGTAAGATTAGGGTTGGTGGAGAATTGGGAAATTTAGGCACTGAAGAAAAAGGAAAAAATAAGAAAGACTTGCCCTTTGTATTATCCCAGTTGAATGTGAATGATGGAGATGTGCGGTGAGATTTGAAGAATACCACACAATAAATAAAGTACTCTTCAATAAACCCACAACAAATAATTGTTATCTATTCTTCCTATTATCACAAAGTACTATCACCGCTTCTACTATTTGTTGAGCTTGCTCAAAAGCAGATTGAAACTTGCAAAAGATATATTGATGGAATCTATGTTCATTTATTAGTATTATTAGTAGTAATAATACTTCTACTCCTCCTCCTACTTGTGAAATGAATAAAGACGACAAACTCTGAACTCCACCACAGGAACCAATAACAACAGCAACAACTAAAAATCCAATCTTTTTCTTTGTAATCCCACCCATCATTTCTCTTTTTTATCTTTCTTTCCTCTCAAACCCGTTTTTCTTTTATTTATCTTTTTTCGGGTTTCTTTTTTTTGTAGCCCTTTTGTGTGCGTATTATACACCAAACTGTGATATAAATTACACGGAATGGTGTAAGAAGAAAAGAAAAGAAAAAGGAAAAAAAAAAAAAGAGAGAAAAGGTTCGTGGGATTTTTTTTGGTTTCCTCTGTGCGTGTGTGAGAGTGTGTGGGAGTGTGTGAAAGAGGGTGATTGGAAATGATTAAAGAAAGGAACGGAAGGAAGGGTTAGGATTGAGAATTGTCAGAATTGGGGGGTTTGGAAGCGGGGGGGCTTTGATTGATGATTCAACGAAAGAATTGATGCTTTTCTTTTGTTTTTGTTTTTGTTTTTGTGTTTGTGTGTGTCACTGTGTGACTGTGTGTTTTTTCGTGTGTTCCTTTTTCTCTCTCTTAAAAATAAAATTCATATGACTTCATGTTTACTTCTTGTCCTAATTTTCGGTACGATGATCGATCGGGTTTGAGGAGCTGAGATTTTCAAATGTTTTTTTCTTTCTTTTTTTTTCAGTGAGTGATTCCCAAACGCATGACCTGCGCGTGCGTTTCGTGACTTCGTAGGTTGCAATTTGGGAGGGAAAATAGTCAGCGCGATTGAACAAGCGTTGTTAAGAAAAGGCTGCTTACCGCGACTTTTTGCTGCAACGGAAATTGCGGGGCCCTGGCCTCGTTAATGCTTCATTTTCTTTGTTTTTCTGTTCCCATTTTTTCTTTTTCTTTTTTTGAGGTCATTTGTTCAATTAATTGGATAAAGTTTAATCAAAATGGTTTGGAAACACCTAACTAGTAACTAGTGTGTTTTATTAAAATTTCTCTACCTTTTTTCTTTTTTTACGTTTTAAATTTTAATATGAAAGAAAACACTCTAAAAAACACTCCATAGAGAGCCAAATCTTTGGAAAAATATGTTACTGCTATTAAACACCAATTATGAATCGGGTGATGAAGTGAAATTAAATTCTTTGAATGAGACAAGGAGACTATTAGTGTAGACGTTTTTTCATACTTAATACAAATATGATTAATTCATAAAAAAGTTTCTTTGAAGTGTATTTAAAACCTGTTTTGTTCTTGTAATTTAGTGTTTATTATCTTGAGTATACTTTTGAGACAAATGTAAAAATTTGTTTATATATTCTAACACAATTTCTATCTATTTTCATCACTAGCCTCGTTTTAATTCGTAATCCCAAAATAACAAAACAATTTATGGTTCTTTGCCTTCATAGTGCATTGTGTTATTGATTTCTAATGCCCCTTTGTCTTTATAATTCCCATGATATTGATTTCTGATGTCCAACTTTGGATCGTATTCTTTTTTCACTCTTTGGCATGGTCCAAAAGTTTACTTAAAATAGCAATTTATAATCAATTATCATGTCCAAAACTTATAAACTTACTTTCTAAGTTAGATTGATGTGATTTTGTCTCAAAGTTAAGAATAAAACTATAAATAATATTGGAATTTTAGTGTCCGAATCTAAATATGTGATTTTATCTCAAAACTTAAGAATAAAACTACAAATATTATTAGAATTTTAGCGTCCGAATTTAAATGTAATATTTTTACCCAAAAAAAAAAATCATTAATGTAATGATCTTCGAACGTACCTCTTCCTATTTGAAGACCTCATTCAAACATGATTTTAATTGGTAACTAGAGTGATGGAAGATCGAGTAGCTAAATTGAACATTGTGGAGGGCCATATGATATTATGAGGGGTAAAATTTTGTTCAATTAAAGATGAAGGGACTATTCTGGTAATTTTACTGACCATCATTCTAAATCGGAAGGGGGGTTTTGTGATTAGCTCATTCGCCGCTACAAGGGTTTATAATTATAGCCATGGTCATCGTCGCCGGCGTTGCTGCCGCCCGGTCTATTTGCCGATCAACTCCCCTCCGTCAAGCTGCTGCCAGTCTTGCCTCCAAGTCAAAATCATCTGCTTCTCCGTTCCGTTTGCCTTCTTCGACGCGCTCTTCTCATCGAATTTTCAGGTACCAGTCAGCTATTCGAAAACTGTGAAATATTATGCAGTTGATTGGGTCCGTGACTGTTTCCTTCCTCAAGTTGTGCCAGCTTTGTGTTAGCTAAAGTTTTCTCTTTGTCTGTGTTCCTTTTAATTTTTCGAATTTATTTTTCAATTGAAGGCGTCCAGTAGAATTGAGTGCAATGTTGGCGTCAATGCAGCCATACCATACTGCAACGGCATCAAGCTTAATGATTTCCAATCTCACCGTCTCGCGCTGCGGTTACGGTTGGCTCTTCGAAGACATGTGAGTGGCCTTGCTTCCTCAGAGCATAGAGAATTGTTTTTTGCAGATTAGACAGGGCTTTGAGCTTTAATTTGGACAGAATATTGAAAAAAAAAATGTTGTTTATTGTATGTTTCCAATGGAAATGAGAAGGATTATACGTTATGAGCGAGATGAAATAGATCATATTTGAATTTGCACATTACTGTATTCGAATTTCCTTGAGCACCTTTGGGAATCTCTCTCATAATTTACTTTCTAGAAATAACACTGTTGACCCAATGCGGTTGTTAGTTTTGTGTACTTGGTTCTTCGGTGTATCCTTTGTATACCTTTTTGCTTTGTGAATTCGTTGTAAGAGCTGAGTTATGCTGATTCCAATAGAATACTGGAGAAAGGAATGCATCTAATAAAATGTTCACATCTTCGATTGATCATTTTGCATACGTTTTTGAGTTTGTTCTCGAATTATTGGTTGGGTTTTTGTTTTTGTCATATTTCAGATGCAGGATAGATTTGGGAAATGTGATTATGTGATATTAGTCTTGATCTGAAACTTCTTTCAGTTTGGTGACTGATGCTTGGCCTTTTCTAATCGTTTCTCTAGAAGAGTTTTCACTTATACCTGGTTCAAATGGATTATCATTTACTCCTAAACTTAAAAGGCAATTTGTTTACTTTCTATGTGTTGAAGCAAAAGGCTCGATAAGATGGGAAATGACATCTCTTTTTTCAAACTAGCAAATGAAGTTCTCTTTATCTACGACAAAATCGCAGCATATTTCTGATCTTTTAGTATGTAGATTTTTCATAGTCAAGAGAATCTATAGTGCTTATTCACAGTTAAAGTTTTTGTTGCACTTGTAATTAGAAGTCATGATAATTCCATATATACGAGAAACTTGTCAAGTTAAAACCAACAAATTCTCATTTTATTGTGGTGCTGGAGTCTTGTGTGCATCTGGAGTCTTGTTTGAGAAAGTCTTGCATCTAGCTGAGACTGTTGAAAAGAGACTGTTGAAAAGGTAATTTCTAACCTTGGTATAGATGAGGAATATTTACTTCCAAGAGACTGTTGAAAAGCCAAGAAATGTGCCTTCAATACTAGTACCTGTTTCTTCTCCCTTGGAAATGGCTGAATGGTTTCAGTTGCTTCAACTTTAATGTCTTCTGTTTCACCAATGTTTTTTGTTCAAAGGATCCAAGATCCTGAAATTCTTCCACCCCAATAATTCATCTGATGATGGAAATGAATCAATATGGACATCATCAAATTGCGGTTTCATGTTCATCTCTTGGCGTTGCTTTCTTCTTTAACATCAATAATTTCTCTCTATCTACCTCTCAAACTTGCATAAGTATGTGTGATACTGAAGAGCAAGAATTTTATGTATTTTGCTAATTAAGGTTGTGCATATTATGTTCTTTTTGAGCATAGATATTTATTACTTTCTTCATACCTTTAGGAACTAGCTTGTTGAACTAGTTTCTGAGGTTCACTGGATGTTCGGAATCCCTCATTCTAGGCATATAAAATTCGAGCAAGCTGCCTTGAATCTGTCAATCTGTGTACATCTCTGATTTAAGTTCCTGTGATTAACTCTGCTACGAGAGTTTCATAGTTAATTTACGAATGGATGCAACAGATCTGTCTAGGAAACCCATATACGACAAGATAAATAGATTGTGACAGTAAGCATTCATCCTGTCATTGAGAGTTTGGTTTAGTGGCCAGCTTGAATTGCACCCTGTGTAAATTTTGTCGGCTTCAACCGCGGTTCTGTGATTTGTTGGAATACCAGGTTAAGAAGAACCTTGCTCTGGGAATTTGTTTTGTCCGAAGAAGACTGTTTTTCTTGTGGTGTGATTGTTTGTACCTATACTGTATAAGTGATTGTTTGTACCTATACTGTATAAGTCATAATCCATTCAGGATACTCTGATTTTCTTGCATCCTTTTCAATCAGCAGCACTTGAACTTGTCACAGCACCTGAAAAGATTTCTTATAAGTTGATCAATTTGATTGAGTAAACAGAGAGAGCCACTAAAATTTCTTGAGAACTCACCTGAAATTCTTCAATACCAGGAAAATTCTATTCTTGAGTTTGCGCATATGAGCCCTTTCAGGTACTAAAACTACTATAATGTTTTTGATGGTTCATTCTTCCCAGATATCCAACATGTTTTCGTTAAAAAATCGCCATTCACCTCTCACGTCTGAGATCTTCAATTACCCAATTCATATGTAAACATACAATGCGCTACCATAATTATCATTAGTACATCAAATTTTTGCGATGAAATAGATTGAACTAAAGGATTGAAACATGATAGAGATTATTCGAACAATAAATTGTTACAATAAATTGTTACAACGAAATAGATTGAACTAAAGGATTGAAACAGAATAGAGATTACTCGAACAATGAGTTTTGTACTGAGAATTTGATTGCAAAATCAAGCTTGTTACTTGCAGGATCGCAACCCTGTCCCTCCTTTACCGCCAGCTTAGAGGCGTCGGCATCCCTCCTGAACGTGAAAACATATTTGAGTTTTACTTTTATCTATCTTTTACTAAAACTTATTTGTATCACTCAAAAGGAACTTTTCAGTGAAATTCATTCTTCAATAAGGTCTATATTGTCAATTTTTTCTTTTTTGTAAAAGAATAAAAAATAAAAATTTTCATTTAAAATTGACTATATTTTAAGACTATACATGTACCTAAAAAAATTAAAAAATAAAAAAAGACGACTATACATGTACCTACTTATCTTTCAATAATAGAATACTATCGGTACGATGATGTGAATGCATAACGGGATGTTATCTAACACTTAAAAGATATATACGGATCGTGTTATAGAATATTCGATAAACTCTCTCAGTAAATATTCTTAACGTGATGTCATCAATGTGAGTAGGTTATTTTTGAAATAGGAAAATGAAATACTTTTTCATATTTCATTTGATTCAAATTATAGATCTATAACATGGGGGGCTACACGAGAATGAGAATGCAACAGACAAATTACTCCACCCACAACAAAAAAAAAAAAACAAAAAATCAACAGAAATACCATTCATTACGGTTACTCGAAAACGAAAAGAGGAGGAGGAGCTCTCCCAAGTCCCAATTTACCAAATCAAAACTGGACCCACCCTTTCAAGAAAGGATGGGAAATTAGAGTAATTAGTCACACTAATCATCCATTCTCACACAGCATAACACTTCCCAAGAAACACATTTTTCCTTCCACTTCCTGGAGTTTCCCTGTCATCATTTCTTTAAGGTAAACTCCAAAAATTCCTCAAATGCTTCCCGACCCATCACTTGAAATCTAAAGTCCAAACCAAAAAAAAAAAAAGAACCTAGCTTAAGCCCAGTTCAAATTATACCTGAAAATTCAAGAAGAGGAACTTCATCAATCATAATCTTCCCATGCAAAATTATGGCTATGGAGAAGAAGCAGCAGAAATTCATGAACAAGAATGTTGTCCTTCACAAAATGATCATTCTTTCCTTCATAAACCTCCATTGTTGTTGTGCTATCATTACCTCTGCTCTTAACAGGGAAGGTTTATTGCTTCAGCAAGTGAAGCGGTCTTTATCCGACCCGGCTGGCTCGTTGTCTTCTTGGTCGGACAGGGATGCCACTCCATGCAACTGGACTGGCATTTCATGTTCCCGGAAAGGCAGTTTTCCGTCGGTTATCGGAGTAAACCTTTCCTCTGCTTCCCTTTCCGGCCCTTTTCCGGTTGCCTTTTGCCACCTTCCTTATCTCTCTCTGCTTTCCCTTCCCAATAATTCCATCAATTCTTCCCTCCCTTTAACCATTTCTCGCTGCCGGCGTTTGACCTTTCTTGATCTCTCTTCCAATTTTCTTGAGGGCCCAATTCCTTCCACTCTTGCTGACCTCCCAAACCTCAGGTATGCTGCTTTAACTGATTGAAAAATGTGCGTGTGTGTGTGTGTTTTTCTTTTGGTGCCAAATGAAAAATGGTTTTTTTTCTGTTTCTTTTTGTCTTTTGGATTATAGGCACCTTGATCTGGATGCGAATTCTTTTTCCGGCGAAATACCGGCGAGTTTTGGTAGATTCCAGCGGCTTGAAAATTTAATTTTGTTCAGCAACCTTCTGAACGGGACAATCCCAGCATCACTGGGTAATATAACCAGTCTCAGAGTACTTCAGCTTGCTTACAATCCATTCTCACCGGGTCGGCTTCCTCCGGAACTGGGCAACTTGACCAACTTGGTTGATTTCTGGTTAACTGACTGCAATCTCTTTGGCCCGATTCCGGACAGTTTTGCTAAGCTGATTCGTCTCATTAACTTCGATGTGGCTAATAATCGTCTCTCTGGGTCGATCCCGAGTTTCATGTCACAATTTATCACCATTGAGCAGATTGAGCTGTTCAACAACTCGTTCACCGGAAACTTGCCGCCGGGATGGGCGAATTTAACCGAGTTGCAGCGATTCGACGCTTCCATGAACGGGTTGACCGGGCCGATCCCTGAAGAACTGTGTGAGCTGCCTTTGGAGTCTCTGCATTTGTATGATAATCGGTTCCAGGGCAAACTCCCGGAAGGAATTGCCAAGTCTCCCAATCTGTACGAACTGAGGATTTTCAACAACAGCCTGAGCGGGTCATTGCCTAGTCAACTTGGGTTGAATTCGGCTTTACAGCGTTTAGATGTGTCAGGGAATCGATTTTCCGGGCCAATCCCGGAGAATTTGTGCGAGAAGGGACAACTGTTTGCGCTTCTGATGATCTCTAATTCCTTCACCGGGAGTATTCCGGCAAGTTTGGGTAAATGTCGGAGTTTACAACGGGTTCGTTTAAAGGGTAATCGTCTAACCGGTGATGTTCCGGCAGAGTTTTGGGGGTTGCCAAATGTTTACTTGCTGGAACTTGCCGGCAATGGCTTATCAGGAAACATATCAAGCTTGATTCAAGTTGCACGAAATTTGTCTTCCCTTTTAATTTCAGGTAACAATTTTTCTGGACCCTTGCCAGAAGAAATTGGAAGGCTAGAAAATTTAACTGTTTTGTCGGCTAGTCATAATCAATTTAGTGGGAAAATTCCTAGTTCGTTGTTTCAATTGGAGCGGTTGACTAGAATTGATCTTGAGAATAATGAACTTTCTGGAGAAATTCCCAGGGGAAGTTGGAAGTTGGATCAGCTTTATGAGATCAATTTAGCTCAGAATAAGCTTTCGGGTGCTATCCCGGATGAATTCGGCTTTTTGCCAGCCCTTAATTATCTGGACCTTTCCTCGAATAAGTTTTCAGGGGACATTCCTTCTGCGTTGCAGAATTTGAAGCTTAATAGGCTAAATTTGTCATCTAATCAGTTATCAGGGGCTATACCTACACTTTTAGACAAGGATATCTATAGGGATAGTTTTTTGGACAATGAAGGTCTGTGTGGTCGTTTCGCGGGTTCGTGTCATGGTGAAAGTAGCGGTGGGAAGAATATTTTTCTGGTTTTGAGATCACTTTGTTTTATCATCGCTATCTGGTTGATGTTAGTGCTTGTTTTCGTCGTTTGCAAGCTCAAAAATATGGAGGAGACTGAAACAGGAGTCATGACCAAGTGGACATCTTTCCATAAGTTGGGATTCGGTGAATCTGAGATAATAAATTGCATCAATGAGGACAGTGTGATTGGAAGTGGTTCTTCTGGGAGAGTATACAAGGCTGTTCTTCGCAATGGTCAGGCAGTGGCGGTAAAGAAGCTCAGGGAAAGATCAAATAAAGAGTTTGAAACTGAAGTTCAAACATTAGGGAAGATCAGGCATAAGAACATTGTGAGATTGTGGAGCAGTTGCACTGTCGGGAATTGCAATCTGTTGGTGTACGAGTACATGCCAAATGGGAGCTTAAGTGATGTGTTGCATGATTGTAAGGGTAAATTGTTAGATTGGCCGACAAGGTTCAGAATCGCTTTGGATGCCGCTGAGGGACTTTCTTATTTACATCACGATTGTGTTCCTCCAATTGTGCACAGGGATGTCAAGTCGAAGAATATTTTGTTGGATGAAGAGTTCGGAGCCAAAATTTCCGATTTTGGAGTGGCCAAGATCATTAGAACAGCTAACAGGGATCGCATGTCAGTTGTTACTGGTTCCTACGGCTACATTGCGCCAGGTATAGCTTCTAATCTTTGTTTTTCGAGGATGCCATTTTGTTAAACTTGAGAGCAAATGTTTTTTTTTTTTTTTGGTGAAATTCTGATACAGGTCTGACCTTTTTTCTTATCGCAGAATATGCCTACACGTTGCGCGTGACTGAAAAGAGCGATATATACAGCTTTGGGATCGTTCTGCTGGAATTAGTGACTGGCAGGCCGCCTGTCGATGCAGAAATGAAGGAAACAGATTTGGCTACATGGGTCCGCACCAAGTTGAGCCAGAAGGGAATAGATGACATTATTGATCCCAGCATTCCATCCGTGTTCAAGGAACAGGTTTACCGGATACTCGACATCAGTCTACTTTGCACCAACCTTGTTCCTTTGAATCGGCCCTCAATGCGTAAGGTAGTGAAAATGCTGCAAGAATCAAGCCCGGAATTCAACACAAAAATTGCAGAAAAGGACATTCTGCAACCCTCGTAAGATTATTTTACTCCGGTCAGAATAGCAGAATTTTAGAGTCTTTTTGCCCTGTGAAGCTAGCAAGAAACTGCACCAAGATTAAGTTGTTACCTAAAGTATCTAGTTTTGTTGTACCCAGTAGCTTTTTCTCCACATTTTCAGCTGAGATCATAGTAAAAAAGCATTGTGAAATATTTCAGTAAATGACAGCGCTAACGGTTAAACTGTCCGTGAATGAATACCGGTAATTTTATTTATATCCAGACGTGATACTAACATTGTAGTATGAGATACTTTAAGAAATTAATGTTGTCTCAATATCATTATCAAGTAGTAGTATACCAGTCAATCTCCGTATCATTATTGATGAAGTAGAACCCCAATCAATCACTGTTAGATTAAGTGTTTGTCTTCAACATCGCCGCCCATATTTAGTGCACCCTGGGTCCTGCATTTTTATAAAGTCGGTGTAAGATGAACTTGCAAAATGGGATGAAAATGACAAGAGAGATTTGGTCCCAAAATGTTGACCCTTTTTTTTTTTTTTCCTGATTTGCACCATATAATATATAAATCCCAAAAGTGAGCCTGATTAATTCAGCAATTGAGCTCATTCAGAACCAGAATTTACACGCAACCTGTTTCCTGTCCACAGCGGGAATTCATCCACTGGCTGCAACCACCGGCCCCCATGGTCATATAATTCGAAAAATAATGTAAACTACACACAATTGAGAGAATGGAGGAGTTGGCTTGTAGCTTTCTGATGGTTCATAATCCAAGTTTTAATAACTAATGGCGGTGAATCTAGTCGAACCACTCTTCTCATATTCAACACCACCACCACAAGTATTACCAAGAAATCCGCCACAAGGTTTGATTCTGTCGAGACGTAACTCAATTTACTTCTAATTATCATCGCAACATTAAATCTTGAATTACTTAGTGTATGGAATTTTACAGGGATTAAAAGTTTAAAGAATAACAAAGACATTTGATTACATAATTTGTCAAATTTGTAGAGAAACAAGTATTCTCTCAAAAACTCAAGTAAAATGTCTTCGGAGCAGTCTTATCACTACAAGAAAATTAGAATTCAAATGAACAGTACATCTCTATTTTAGAGCTTTTTTAAAACTCTGATAGAATCGAAATCAAGAGAGGTCCTAGTTTTGAAACAAACTAAGTAATTTGTTTCGAGAGATGTGTCGTTTGCACGTACCTTTAAAGAAAATAGCCTTTGTGTCGATGTTTTTGCAAAAGAAACAATTATAATTGAAAGGGCCGTATATTCTTTTGATGTTATCCGACTCCCCGAATAACATAGCTTTATTAATAAATAACGAGAAAAATAGAAATATAGGTTTGAGTTAAAGCTCATACTTAGGTTTGTTAACAAAAAAAAAAAGTAATCTATTTTAAAATAATTATCTGGAGTGTTGCATTTTGATACCGAAAAGAAATGTTCGTGAAGATGAATCAGTACGTAAATCAGTACTTTGTCTGAATACAATTGGAAAAAGAAATTAAAAAATTATTAGGAAGGAGATGCACAATTTGGGAGGTGTTCCTGAATCCTTGTATGGTCTGGAGAGGCTTACTTATCTTATAGTTTAGGGGCTTTATCCGTGATAAGAAAACTTGGATCAAAGGCAAAATAGCATAATAATATTTGTTTTAACTTTTTAAGTGTCCCACATCGGCCAGGAGTAAGACTCAGACGCAGCATATAACCTTCGGAGTTGACATAGTTGTTTGCTGGGCTCGGTAACGCGAGCTTGTAACCCGAGTTGGGCTCTATATTGGAACATCGGGCCATAGCTACGGGTAGAGCCCGATGGGGCTGCTTCTGGCCTGCCCGTTCCAAGCGGAGAGTTGGGCTGCGTGGTTTGGGCGAAAGCTTGGGCCACGTTGTTCCTAAAGTGGAGGGCACCGCGTGAGGCTGGCTTCACAGAGTAGCGCAAACTTCCCGCTCCCTGCAGTGGAAGGATAACGGGCCAGTTTCTCTCGGGCTCAATAATAATCCAATGTGTGGCCACAACTGGACCATCATTTTTTTGCAATTTTTCGGCCCATCAAACTGAATTTTGTTGCTTCGAATTTTCCAAATGGTCTATGGAATTTTGTTCCAAATTTTCTGGTTGTTTTTCCTTGTCACAGAAAAAAAGCTGCCTCTTGGATTATACTTCATGGATTGATAATACAAATTATCTGAAGGCGTGTGACTACATTTCTCTTCTGAGATGAACAAAATGTCATCAATCGGGATTCATTTATTTGGAAGTTTCACCAATTCTCTAGTTTTGTCACTTCTAACCTTAGAGGTAGGTACAATATCACGATTTATTCTCAATATGTCAGTTATTCTTTCTATAAGGTATTTGAATTTGTCCTACATTTCACATATTTATTGTCAACATGTCAATTATTCCCTCTATAAGGCATTTGAATTTGTCTTATATTTCACATATTACGTATTTTTAATTGACAAAAAATTCTTCAAAATATTTCATAACAATCAAGAAACACAATGAATGTGAAATTATTTTTTTTAAAAGTTTTTTTGTCAATTAAAAATACGTACTAAGTAAAACTTATAACAAATCAAAAGTTTATATTAAGGATTGGAGGGAGTATTTATCAAATTTCAATCAAGCCGTATTTTAGAACTAGATCATCTGTTCATTCATTTTATCGAATTTAAATCAAGTCCACTGCTCAAAAAAGCGTGGAGTTACTGAAAAATGGGAAAGGCTTCGGTTTGAAGCTATTTTGGTAAACTGCAGTTTCTTTCTCAGCATTTACATTAAGATTGACGCAGTTGAGACTTGAAAGAGATTACAAAGTCCTCTCCCATGGGTGCCAAACCATACTTCCGAAGGCATGAATCAATATACTTCACACTTTTTTTTCCCCAACAACTATGTAGTCTATACATTCAACTCAAGTGATCCGGCCGGAATCTCATTGTTAAAAACATTTACGAAAAGGGCAAAATTCAGGAAAAAAACAGCACGAAGCAAATTAGGTTGTTATTATCATTATCATTATTATTAATATAGGTAAACTATCGTGGCACCACTTCTTGAGTTTGTGAAAAATGAATTACGGATTGCCCCTGATGAAGTAGCTGTTACTCTCTTGACTAGTTGATTGGTAAAAACTTATTAGTGTGGAACTTTGGATGTTTGCCTAATAAAAAAGAGTTTAGTGTGTCTGTCTATATATATGTTGAGGGTTATGTGGCAAGGATTATGAATCTCACATCGGAAGCACGAGGACATGTGAATCAATTAATAAGTAAGTTGGATTCAGAACCCATTAGTTTGAGCTTTTGAGTTCAGATGAGTCTTATCTTACTTATTGGGCTCCATGTCAGATTTTCTCCTCCAGATAAATTACCAACAGTGGTATCAGAGCCCAGGTTGGGCAAGTTGAGTGGGTGATTTAGCCCAAATTATCTCGGTTGATCTGACTGAACCCAGGCAGTCAAAGGCCCACTATGAGCGGAAGCGTAGGGATGGGCGGCCCAGTTACTCAAGTGGAGTATAGATTTGGGCTTGTCAAGATAATTTGGAAGCCCGATGTGGAGATTGCCCATGACGGGGGAGAATGTTGAGGGTCATGTGGCAAGGATTATGAATCCCACATCGGAAGCACGAGGACATGTGAATCAATTAATTAGTAAGATGGATTCAGAACCCATTAGTTTGAGCTTTTGAGTTCAGATGAGTCTTATATTACTTATTGGGTTCCATGTCGGATTTTCTCCTCCAGATAAATTACCTATATATATAATATTATATAAGAATAAATCCATATACCGAAGAGACCTCCACATCATATTATTGAGAATTGTAGGAAAGTGGAAGCTTACCTTAATCTGTAGTGGCAAGAACATCGTTCCGGTTTGGTCTTCCAGATGATTCCGTCAAGCCCTTGCGGGAACCTCTGACAAATAGGGAGTCAAGATTTGGCATGACGATTCATCCAGAGACAACAACCAATATATAATAGGATTTCCGATTCCACCCATCACAGAACCGAAAATTGGGCTTTAGGATTTCTACACAATACTGGGCCACACTTTAACTTAATTATTATCAGCCAAACTTTAGTTAACATAATTAAATCACTTTATGTGGGCTAGTATTTTATGATAGCCTGTAAAATACAATTGTATATTTAATCTATAAGTCCACATAGATCTTACATATAATAATATATATATATATATATATATATATATATATTATAATAGACAATTCTATTGGATTGGAAAAAATTCCGTTTTTTTCGCACTCATCGTCAAATTTACCCTATAGAATTTTAGTTATCCAACTTTACCCTAATGTTAAAATTTTTTGTCAATTTCGTCCAATCGGCCCATTTTGCGTCAAACTTAACGGACCTCTATTACTTTTTCAATAAAATAATAGATTTAATTATAAAAATACCCTAATAATTTTTAAAAAGTATAAAAATTACCCCTAAAATATATAAAAATAACAAAACAGTCCCTTTTTACCTTTTTATTTTATTTTTCTTTATTTCATTTATTCATTCCATTTCTCTTTACTACTTTTTATAAACAAAAAAATATATTATATGATCCTTAAAGATATTTATTTATTTTCAATGTCTACAGTAAAAGTTAATTTTTGTATAGCTATAACACATGATTGTATTTATAAACATATTAATATTTTTAAAAATAAAGTTTATCAGTAAAGATAATATTTTTCTTATTCATTTTATTCTTCCTAACCTAAAGAATAAAAAATTTTAAGCAAAACTAATATTTCACATAAAAATAATTGTTTAGCCCAAATAAATAAAAAAAATTGTTAATACTTTTTTTTTTGGTAATGCCGAGAACCCTACCAGAGATGGGTAAAACTCACGCCCACTGCAATAGTCTGCACACCACAGTGGGAGGCAAACCATCCCAGGCAAGTCCAGGCCACAACAAGCCCTCTAGGTGCCAATGGACAAGGTTAGAGTAACCCCTCACTTTTTGTTGGAGTGCGGGATTGAACTCATGACCTCCTTTTGAGAACAAGAGTTGTTATATATTTTAGTGTATTACAATTTAACTCAAGAGACTATAAATTGCATTAATATAATTCATAAAAAAGGAAACTAATATAAAATAATTAAAACCTTAAAGAAATCTTCAAAACATAAGTTTTCCTTCCTAAATCTAGCACGTATTCTCTATCACAATAACTTATCACCATATTGTTACCTCCATTCATTTATTTTAAACTAAAATATATAAAATAAGTAAGACTTCCTCTATAGTTAGATATATTAATATCTCAAATAATTGTCACAAACTATTAAATCCTCATATTGATAAGTATACACATTTTTAAAAAATTATATTATGCCATCTAGTGTCTCTGGTTAAATTGTAATATACTAAAATATACTAATAAATTATTTTGTTATTTGAGCTAAATATTTTATTTTATGTAAAATATTGATTTTATTTAAATGTTTCTAATCTTTATATTAGGAAGAATAAAATGAATCAGTAAAATAGTATCGTTAATGCTAAATTATATTTTTAAAAAAATTAGCATGCTTATATAAATACAATCATGTGTTACAACTATATAAACATTAATTTTTACGGTAAATTTTGAAAATAAATAAATATTTTTTAAAAAATCATATAACATACAATTATGGTCACTAAAAGTAGTAAAGAGAAATGCAATGAAAATGAGAAAAATAAAATAAAAAAGTAAAAAGGGTTTGTTTTGTTATTTTTATATATTTGAGGGGTTATTTTTATAAATTTTAAAACTATTGGTGTATTTTTTATCATTAAATCTATTATTATATAAAAAACTAACGAAGATTCGTTAAGTTGGACGAAAAATAGATCGATTGCACGAAATTGAAAAAAATTTCAAACATTAGGGTAAAGTTGGCTGACTGAAAATTTATAGAGTAAGATTGACGACGAGGGCAAATTTTTGAGTAGGAACGCCATTTTTTCCCTATTGGATGTGTTATAGATCCAAAATTTTAAAATGAGAAGGTAATGTGCATCACAATACTACACTAAATTTCTATATAATCCTAATTGAATTTAGTGCAAGGTTCATATATGTAAATAAATTTTTAATTAAATTTTGGTTAATTTATATGTTTGTTTCAATTTATAGATTACAGCCGATCAAATTAGCAGAAGGATGTGGGTGGAAAAATAATTTACAAACACGATTCATATTGGAAACGTCATATATTTGCTCACAAGTTTGAGAGATTGTAAATGCAATTGTAGTTAATGTTGAATCCATTCATTACTTTGCATTCTTTTTTCTATATATATATTTTTAAAAAGAGTCATTTTATTACTATAATTTAATTGTCAAATTAGATGTTAAGCTTCCAAAGCAAAAGACAAATATCTATTTAATTTGCTTTTCCCCTTTATTATATCCCATATCTCGAGAAGCAAAGAATTCAGTTTCTCTTATTTTTTTGGCTCTTAAACCTTTAGATGGCACAGGTCTTTCGGTTGATTATTCATAATGATGTATTGCAGGCCACCAGTAATGATCAAGACCTATGTGTACGGCTGAACTTGAATGCAAAATTTATGATATTTTTTTTTTCTGGAAAAAGAAAATAGGAGGGGAAAAACAGCAAGGAGTGGAAAGTAAGAAACAAATTAAGGGCGAGTGCTTCGAAGAAGTAGTGAAAATCAAATATTGTAAAATACTAACATGGGCCTCACTTTTTCTTCTTCTTTTTTTTTTTTTTTTAAAAAAAAAAATCAACGTGTTCACGATCAACAAAAATATGATGTTTTCTCTGAATGTTTTCCATACCAAACTCCTAAAAATTCAGAGTATTATGATATTTTGTATATCAGATCAACAAAACAAATTAATTGAGATGAGAAATTATCTTTAATTTGTATCCTTAAATTATAATTACTGCCCCTTTTAAAATTCAGGAAATGAATCTTATATCGAGTGGTGATATATAAAATTAAAAAAGTTAAAACTAAACTATTTGTCGATTATATTTCATTTGGTAATTAAATAATTTCGTTTTGTATTTGCTAGAGTCTAGAAGTATATCTTGGAACAATCCTAAAAAAAAAAAAATGTTCAACTACTTTAAGATCATCCCTTTGAAGTTACATATATGGCTAGCGTACGTACAGTACATATATATGCATCACAGTCTCAGTCGTAGTAGTATTAATTTGGTAATTGGTATGAACTGATCATCAGCAAAAAAAAGGAGATGGAGATTGAGCAATGAATTAAAACAGAGATCAGGTCCAATGTCAACCTAGAGTGCAATTCAAGCCATGGATTTTTCCTCCCTAAATAATTTTAAATAGCACTAAAAATAAAAAAAATAAAAAATATATATTAGTGCACCCAACATATTTCTATATTCCTTTGCGTAGACTTCTCATGCAATACAAATGCAAGAAATCTCTCCAAGTAGTAAGGTTGTCCCATCTATACTCCATAGTTAAGTTTTATTTTCCCCCTTTTTTTTCCCAAAGAAATTAATTAAAATAAAAAAATCCTTCGCGATTGATTTAATTACTACTATACAAACTCTCCTTCAGTTACTAGTACTAGTGGCATATTAGTATCAATCAAAGTTCCCTTTTAAGTCATAAAGATGTCTTGAAATTCATTTCTTGTTCATGAGGCCTTTCCCACACCAAAAAAATAAATGTGACACCTAAACGTGAGGTCCAAGCAATCTCTTTTTTTCTATGTTTAAGAACATATTAATCATGAAACCCTAAAGTGCAATTATTTCTACCTACATGAATCTCTCTTCCCCTCACCATCATCAAAATATAAACACACGAGCGCCAATTATTTCTTCTGAGGGTGATGATCAACTAGATGTAGTGGTGGGTGACAAAGATTACTAACCCGTAATATTATTTATGCAAATAAACTAAAAAAGTAGATCAATAAGAGAGAATTCAATTCTTTTCCTTCTAGCTTCTACAACATTTGGCATGAAGACACGTGCAATTGAAGTACAACAAGAGACAAGTTACTTTTTTTCTTTTGTCTTTTGAACCCTTTTTTATCTCTTGTTTTGCTTATCTTAGTATTGTTTGTTTTGAGAAGAATTTTGTTAAAGTAATTACAGAGAGACGACCATGGAAGAATAAATCGATTCCATAAGAGGGAAAAACAAAGGAGGACATCATGACTTGTTGCAGTCATCAAGAGAATGGTAGTGATAAGAATCATGATGAGAGTCCTCCTAAAAGCCACAAAATGATGGTTTGTCCTTCTTGTGGTCTTAAATTCAATTGTCAAGAAAAGGTTAGTGCATTACTTATGATTACCATATATCTCTTGTTATCATATTTTTTTTTATTATTTGGGGAGTACTTTGATGTTGTTCCTTTCAATTTTCATTCATTGTATGTGCATTATTTGATTATTTGGAGTTTTTTTCACCCCTTAATCGGTTGTAGGCTGGAATCAATGATCTTCCGGGTTTGCCTGCTGGGGTGAAATTCGACCCGAGTGATCAAGAAATTCTTGAACATCTGGAGGCAAAGGTGAGGTCTGATGTTCATAAGCTTCATCCTCTTATTGATGAGTTCATCCAGACACTTGAAGGAGAGAATGGAATTTGCTACACCCACCCAGAAAAATTACCAGGTAATTAACTAAAAAAAAGTGCCAATATTTTTGGATCCCAAAGCCGGTAGTCAAGATTTTGGTTGTAGAATCAAGCTTTCCTTCTGATGGAGACAATAAGAGAAGGAAAGGGAGGAAGGATCAAGGAATCATGTTACGGCTCCATTTTAATGTATAATTTTTGGATTTTGAAATATTTTTTTATACATTTAATAACTCTATTATTTCCCAATCATCTTAAACCAATTTAAGATTAAAACCAAAAATCAAAATCAACATTATAGTTCTCATGCATGCTACATAAAAATATTGGATAAAACGTCATCTTTAATTATGTGTTCTAAAATAAAAAAATCCTCTGTCGACCAATTCTAAGGCTCTCATTTTCGGATGATTATTGTATATTTCCTCTGTTCCCCAAAAAAAAAAAAATTCAATGTTTTGATATTTGTACTATTTTTAATACAAATTTTCAAACTCGATGTAGATTATTTTTTTTTTGCACAGAGACTGTATTTCCCTGCCGCATTTAATTTCCACATTTTTGTTTATTATTTTGACAAAATTCGTTTTTTCATGATTGATCAGGAGTAAGCACAGACGGATTAGTTCGCCATTTTTTCCATCGACCCTCGAAAGCCTACACGACGGGAACTCGGAAAAGAAGAAAAGTTCACACCGAGATCGACGGCTGCGAGACTCGCTGGCACAAGACAGGGAAGACAAGGCCAGTGGCCGTGAAAGGTAAAGTGAAAGGGTACAAGAAGATACTTGTGCTTTACACAAACTACGGGAGGCAAAGAAAGCCCGAGAAAACCAATTGGGTGATGCATCAATATCACCTTGGCAACAATGAGGATGAAAAGGAAGGCGAACTGGTAGTCTCCAAGGTTTTCTACCAAACTCAACCTAGGCAATGCGGCGGTTCCTTGATGATCAAGGATCCTTCTTCTTCGCCTTTGAAAGAAAATGGAAGGGTTAATGGAAGGAATATTGAGGAGTCTCATCATCAACTTAGTGATGCTGCTGTTGCTTTTGTTGAGTTCTACAATCCAAGGCCAGATCTCATTTCCTTTAATCAATGTGAGTAAATCTTTAGAATATTAGGTGGTTTAATTTGCGTTTTCGGTATCTTCAGTCACTCAGTCACATAACCATATATAGTTTATCTGTTTTATTGATTTATTTATCACAGTGAAGTACTTCATTTGTCCTAAAATTATTGTTCAGTTTGTTAAAATTTTTACTTTTAATTCAGTTTGTAGTAATAATGAAAATTTAGAGTCCACAATAATTTCGGAACGGAGGGAGGAAAGGAGTACTAGAGATATTTGAAATGATTACTCATGAGTCAAAATGAGCGTGACTTTACTGAAGAGATTTAGTTTTGACTTGGTACTCTAATTTCAATAATTACTTGATAAAATTTGTGAATAAAATCTGAGTAATATATGGGTTTTTTTTTTTTTTTTTTCTAAATGAGAGATTGAAGTAGAATGGAGTAGCAAGTTAAGTAACAATTGGGGTAATTTAACATATGAACGGCTATGCTTATTCTTAATCTCTTAAGAAATGAACTATTCATTTCCATTTCAATGAAGAAACTGTTCGATTTTCTCCCATCTCATTCCTGACTTCTATTCTTTTGGCTTTGGTTTTTATTTCTCTTTTTACAAAATCTTTGTTATGGGGTGCAGGATCCAGACGAGAGTTGAATATTAATTAATGTAGCTGGGATACAAGAGGGAAAAATAATTAATTTTAGCAAAGCTGATTTTGGAGGAAGAGCTGAGGAGGAAGGAATAAAGAGATTTTTGGTCCACATTATTGAAGGCCAAAAGGGGATCGATTCATACATAATTCCAGTGTACTAATGGAAGCTAGCTAGATGATGTTTAAGTTTCACCCATTTTATACTGAACCCATATTTATTTATACCTTACTTTCACTTATGGCTTTGTACAGGTGGTTGATTTATCAAAGCCTAACGTAACTTCTTCATGAATTTATTAATGCTGATTGATGGATCCTCTATTCTTACAATTTACAAACTCCCAATTCTGAGAATGATCAGATACAATAACAGTGATCAAATGTACAAAGTTCAACTTTATTTTTTACCATTTTCAATTCTAAATATGAAGGCCTTTTTAATTTCCCTCATCCTTTTCTTCTTATTCTTTTTCCTTATAAATAATTTCCAAGTCATCTTGTGATTTCGATGTTAATTACACGAATGATCTGGCAGTGCCACTTAGTGGAGTAAAGTCATGGTTAGAGAATTGAAGTCTAGGAAGTGATCAAACTGACAGAGCTCTTTTATTGATTGTATATAACATATATAGAGACTTACAACAAGAGATAAGTACAAGTGATAAACTCCAATACCTATACAACTCAATCTATAATAATGCTAAAAATTACAGGAACATGATAACTATGACACGCCCCCTCAAACTGATGACAGAAGAGGGAGAAGTCGAAGTTTGTCAAAAAAACGAGTAAATGGAACCTTCGCCAAGGGCTTAGTGACTATATCAGCTAGTTGATCCGCAGAACATTGCGGACATTAACAAAGCCTTGTTGAAGGATGAAGTGGAAATCAACTTCGACATGTCTCGTTCATGCACGAAAGGTAGGGTTTGACGCCAAGAAGACAGCTCCGTTATTGTCACACCAGACCGTTGGTGATGCGCGCAAAGGAACACCAAGTTCAGCTAAAATGTGACACAACCAATGAAGTTCGACACAAACATTGGCGACTGAACGGAACTCAGCTTCGGTGGAGGAGCGTGCAACGGTTGGTTGCTTTCGGGAAGTCCAAGCAAGCAAATTCGAACCAAAAAAGATAAGAAAACCCGTGGTAGAATGTCGATCATCCGGGCAACCGGCCCAATCGGCATCCGTAAAAGTTGTAACAATGCAGGAAGGGGAGGAGCTCAAATACAAGCTGCGATACACAGTACCATGCAAATACCGGATGACTTGCCTGAGGGCTTGAAGATGAACGGACGTGGGATGATGCATAAACTGAATTTGTTAACGGCAAAACAAAATCAGGACGTGTGAGTGTAGCATATTGCAAGCTTCCACATAAATGATGATAAGTCGCAACATCATCCGCATCTAAAGAATATCCATCATAGCGAGACATAACACATCCAGCAACCATCGGAGTAGAACATGGCTTACAAGAGGACATATTTGCTGATCGAAACATGTCCAGAAGGTACTTCCGTTGAGAGAGAACCAAGCCTCGCGAGTTACGATGCACTTCAATGCCCAGATAGAAATGAAGATCCCCCAAGTCACGAGTGGCAAATTCAGAGCCAATGCGATCAATAATTTTCTGAACAAATAGAGGTTTGTTTCCAGCAATAATGACATCGTTCACAGAAACGAGAATGAAACAAACACAACGACCAGAGGAGAAGATGAAAAACGAGAGATCACAGCGAGACATCCAAAATTGAAGAGACAAGAGAAAGTCACTTAGCCGTGAGAACCAAGCACGAGGGGCTTGTTTGAGGCCATACACTGACTTGTTTAATTTGCACACATGAAGGAGACGAAGAGGATCAATGAAGCCCTGAGGTTGAACCATGTAGATGACCTCTTGAAGTGTCCTGTTTAAGAAAGCATTGCTCACATCAAGTTGTTTGATAACCCAAGAATGACTCATAGCCACCGAAAGAACCGTTCGGATAGTAGTTGGCTTGATAACCGGACTGAATGTGTCCGTATAATCAACACCGAAGGTTTGTGTGAAGCCCTTGGAAACTAATCGCGCCTTGCAGCAATCCAAACTGCCATAAGGGAGAGTTTTCACCTTGAACAACCACCGATTACCAACAACATTGGGAGATGGTGGCGGCGGAACCAAAGTCCAAGTGTCGTTTTTCACTAGAGCATTGAATTCATGCTGCATTGCTTGCTGCTAGAGAGGTTGTGTTCTGGCTTGAGAATAGGAGAGATGAGCAATTGGGAGGGTGTTGGAGACTGAGATATGATGCACAAACTTATGTTTGGCTAGGGTGGAAGGTCGCAAACTCATTGTATAAGTGCGACTGGGAACTATTGGGGTTGGTGGGGGTGAAAGAGGGGGGTAGGGATCTAAATCAACCAGAAATTGTAAACCTGGGCGAGATGAAGACAAGGGTGAGGAAGATGTTGCTGGTGATTAAGAAGATGCGGCCGAAGGAGAGGCGGCTGATGAGGAATCACTAGGGTTGGAATCAGGGTTAGGGTTTGGTTCATCGAGTGAGGGTTGGGGTTGAGGAGGCTGAGCGCTAGTGGGAGTCGATGGAGGGGAGAGTGCGGAGGAAGGAAGAGATGACAAGGACATAGGAGAAGGGGAACGAAGAGGTGGCGGTGACACATGAAGAGACACTTGTAGCGGTGGTGACAAAGATGAGTTGCGACAGGAAGACGGTGAGGAGGCGGTGACTTAGACAGTTTGATGCTGAAACAGGAAAATAGTCTCATCAAACTGGACATGGCGAGCTATATAAAGCCTATTAGGGGGAAGGTGAAGGCAACGGTAGCCAAGATGAGAAGGGGAATAACCTAGAAAGACACACTGTTGAGACCGAAATGAGAATTTGTGCCTATTATAGAGTCGTAAGTTAGGATATATGGCACAACCAAACACCCGTAAAAATAGAAAGTCAGGTTGTTTATGAAATAAACGAGTGAATGTAATTTGATTATGAAGAGAAGAAGAAGGGAGGCGATTAATAAGAAAAACAGCGGTCTCAAAAGCATATTCCCAGTATTTGAACGGAGCGCTAGAGTGACCTATCAGAGCAAGGTCAATATCTATAATTTGACGGATTTTTCGTTCGGCCGTACCATTTTGTTCATGTGTGTGAGGACAAGCCAGGCAATGATCAATGCCTTGTGTTTTTAAAAAAAGTGTTAAGGGAACCGATAAAATGGTAGTTTGAAATTGGTTTTTGGCTAATTTTTTAAATTGCTGGAAAATAGAGAGTACATCACTTTTTTATTTGATAGGAAAAAACCAGGTGAATAATGAAAAATCATCAATAAACAGAACAAAATAACGATAACCATGATGGGAGAGTAAGGGAGCATGCCCCCAAACATCCGTATGAATTAAATCTAATGGATGAGAACTGCGATGAAATGTTAACCCTAAACTACAATGATGCATTTTGGCAAGACAACAGGCATGCCATTTTTCAAAGGAGAGCTTAAATGAGCCACAAGGAAGCTGAAATTTATTGACTAACTGTCTAACAGTACTAAAACTTGGATGACCTAGACGAGCATGCCACCTCTCAACATTGGCTAGGAAGACAGTGGGAGAGATTGATGATGATGTGGGATGACTGCCAAATTTATAGAGACCTTGTTCAGTTCCTCCGCGCAGGAGTATTGCTTGGGAGATTGGATCCTTAACAAGACAAGAATAAGGGTGAAATTCAACAGCACAATTGTTATCTCGACAAAGTTTTTGAACGAAAAGAAGTGGTTTAGTAAGAGAAGGGACACATAGAATATGATTTAAGCGAAGATCTTTTTTTGGAGTAGAGAGAATGGAATTACCGACATGAGTTATAGGTAAGGATACCATTGCTAACCGTGAGTTCATCAGGACCATTATACTCATTGGAAATGCTCGGAGAGGAGAGATTGGGTGTAGCATGATGAGTTGCGCCTGAATCGGGGTACCATGGAACCGAGTTGGCAGGCGGAAGGGCAGCAGCAATGTTGGCCTGTGGAGGAGAAGGAAGAATACCATCATAGGAGCCATTGGAGGGCTGAGATCTGGGGATAAAGGTGTGATCAAACGACAGCGACATGTGGCTGCTGTGTGGTTGGAATAGCCGCACAACTGGCACACACCACCAGGGACACCCTGATTAACAAAGCCGCGACGACCACCACGATTTTTGCGGCCACCACACTGTCCTCCACCACGCTATGAACCACGACCTCCGCCTCCACGAGAAAGAGTGGTCGATTGAGCAACAAGAACAATGGGTGAAGGAGCCTACTGAGATTTCAACAACAACTCATAAGCAACTAACTGAGTATGAAGATCAGGAAAAGATACTGTTTCGGAGCGTTGTTGAAGAGCACCGATGATGCCATTATAATCTGATCCCAACTTCCGATAAATGATGGCATTGAACTCGGCAGGAGCAATAGGATGGCCAGCCATAGCCAATGAATCAGCAAGGGCTTTAGCTTTGTGGAGAAAAACGGAGACAGACATGTCATCTTTGGCAAGGTTATGCAATTCCAGAACCAACTGGGTCTGTTGCGCATGAGAGAGGAATCCATAACTTTGTTCCAAAACCCTCTAGGCTTGCGCAGACGTGGTAATCCCTTGAAGACAGGGAAACATGGCCTCAGAAATAGAGGAAAGGATCCAGGAAAACAGAAGCTGATCCTTTTGTTGCCATAAAACAAAGTCCGGATTTGGCTGGAAAAGTGTGGTGACCGGATCAACCACAGTAGAAGGAGGAAGACCTTCTGTACCATCCATGATAGGCTGAAGATTGAGCATTTTCAGCAATGGTGCGAATTGGAGCTTCCAACTTGCATAGTTTTCGCGGGAAGACAATTTAATGGCAAAATTCTGGTGAAGAGAGGAAACATTGGCAGAGAAAGAGAACAAGGAGGGGGTTGAAATGGAAACGTTTGAAGCAGAAGAGGAATTGGAAGAGAAAATAGAAGATGTTGGAGAAGCAGAAGAAGCAACGGTAGTCATGGTGATGAGAAAGAGAGAACCAAAGATACCAGGAACGAAGAAAGAATCTGATACTAAGTTGAAGTCTAGGAAGTGATCAAACTGACAGAGTTCTTCTATTGATTGTATACAACATATATAGAGACTTACAACAAGAGATAAATACAACTGATAAACTCAAACACCTATATAACTCAATCTATAACAATGATAAAGATTACAAGAACATGATAACAATGACATAGAGCATGATCTTCTCTGTGTCTCTTACCATCGAAATATTTTAATTTAATCGTTTAGGCGACGATGGCACCTTGTATATAAGTAAAACAAGGTTATATATGTTGATGAAAAAGCATTAATTAGTTTTTGTGAAGAAGCTAAGAAAAACGTCAAATAAGATGTTATGGACAGAACATAAACTCTAATTATAAGGAGTGTAACTTGTTTTTTATTGGCAAAGATCATATAAACTCACATTGTGGAATTTAAACTTTTCAATTCTTATACATTCTTCATCCACAACATAAAACAAAAAGTCAAATCACTACAAAATTCAGCACAAAAATCATCTTCACCAAATTTTGCAAGCCCAAATGAAATTCACTAGACAACATCTTGTTCTTGGGAAATGTCCATATTCTTCTTCTTCTTACGTAAGACATAAACATCAGTTTCCTCGTACGCGTACTCTGGATGCAAATGATCGTGCGGAATCTTCTCAATCTCAAAAGCTTTCCCACACAAATCCCAGAACAGAACATGGGCTTCTGGTGATCTCACTTGGTAGCCCAGCAACACTACGCCGTCGTCCTTAACCAGTTCCGCCATCGTCTCCACCAGCGGCCCGACGGACTCCTCGATGTAAACCACGTCGGCAGCGACCACTATATCGAATGGCGGGCTCAAGGCCTGAATTTGGGCCTCGTTAGCCCAATACAATTGGGCCGTCTTCAGGGCTTTCTTCAAAGCGGGCTTGTTGCGCTTCAAGTTGTGCTTCAATGCCGGCATTACAGGGGCGATGTCCGTGACGACGACGTCTTTGAGGCCGAGCACGTATAGGCCCATCGCTCCGACACCGCATCCGGCTCCGAGTTCGATACCTCGCTTTCCGGTGAAGTTTAGGATGTCGGCGTAGGGGTTGGCGTCGGCGGCCGTGGCCGCCGCGGACGTGGCCGCCGCGGACGTCGGAGGGTGCCAGCGCTCGGCGAATTTGACGAGGACTAAGGAACAAGGCCAGACGGAGGTGCCGACGTGCATGGTGGCGTTGTCCTGGTGGAAAGAGAGGCGGGTGTCCAGGACTCGGAGGTCAATCACCGGCGAATCCGTGAACTTCATCGCCCTTCTTCTTTTCTGCTTTTCCCGTCAGTTCCACCGTCTTTCTAGCGGATCTGGTCAGGTAAAGGTTTGCCCGGTTTTGCCTTTTTTTTTGTGTCGGTTATTTTTGGTAATGGGCTGGAAGAGTGGGCTTTTGGACATTAACTTTACCAACTGTTACTATTGTCTTAAGAAAATGAAATACTCTCTTGTCCCAAAATTACTGTGCAGTTTGAGATTTCACTTTTAATATAATTTAAACTAGAAATAAATTTCTTCTCTAAAGAAATGTTCTCTAAGTAAATTACATTGCAAGTGTACTTCATATATGTTTTTCTTCTTCTTCTTTTTTTTTTTTTTTTTTTTTTTTGTAATTCAATAAGGCATGTAATGACTTGAAAGGAAACCATATTGAAAGTGTTAGGGCCTAGAAAAAATTGAAGGCCATAGGGAAAATGCTGATACCATGAAAGTGTAAAACTCTTTAAGGTGTTGTATTGATACTGAATAAATATATATAAGATAATACAATATACTCCCTCCGTCCCACAAAAATAGTCAACATTGAGTTTTGAATTTTATACAGTTTTTAGTACAAATTTAAAAACTTAATATAGATTATTTTGTGAGACGAAGGTAATATATGTTTAGAATAATGTCCCTAAACATATACAATATATACACTAACAGTTTAACACATATATGAGACAATTCTTTCTCTTCATTTGTTACCATGGTCGTAACTGTCGTCCTTATTGAAACTTTATCCTTCATGTATATAGTAAACTTGTTTGCCCACTTTAATTTTTCCAATAATATTGGACTTCACAGTTCATTCCTTGGTTAAGCGACTGTCTTGTATGACGGGATTCTTTCTCCCTTATTTCTTTGGTGCAAGCAAGTAAAAGATATGTTGCCAAATGACACATAAAAAAGAGGTAACTTCTAAAGGGAATCATCAAAGATGAAGACTTTTAAAAAAAGAGTTAATGGATCGAAGATTTGGTATATCTTTTACATGTGGGAACCAACTTATGGTTGAATTATTGCATGCATTTCATGTGTTGCTAATTGCTGTACAATTTTTTGCATGGCAAAACAGTAGGTTGAAACAATCACTTAATCTAAGCTTATCTTCTAAAAGGCTACCTAACTAGGGTTGCATACTAAACAAGATTGATTTACAACTTTTCTAGCCCACTATAATCATTTTTTTTCATTTCAGCTTGAGAAGATAATAACTTGATTACAAACACATATGATCAAAAACACAAAGCAATAATTGGAGTTGGAAACAAAAAAAAGAAGAAGAAGAAGGCCCTCTTTTGCTTTGTCCCCACTACTCCAAAACCCTTTTATCAACAACTATAAAAGAATCCAACCATTTTTTTTTTCCAAGATAAAAGCTTCAAAAGGATCAACCAGAATATGCATGGCCAGCTCTATCCTCTTTCTTATTAAACATATAGTTCTTCTTTTTCTTCTGTCTCCTGCAACTTTTTAAACTTTCATCCACCACCCAATGCCACCTTTTCCACCCCTCTCTCTGTGCAGAGTTTTTTTTTTTTTTTTTTTTGCCAATTCTAAAGCCAAACCCTTTTCCAAATTCCCCTTTCACCGCCCATATGTTCAATTTCAACTCCACTTTAATTATTACCACCTTTTCATTAACCCTTTTCTCATAAATTTTTTTATTAAAAATCCCATTAACAAGAATTTGATCATAGTCATAATCATCATATCCATCCATTTATTGAAGATGGATGGCAAATGGGCTGTACTCCAACCCCAAGAAAATCCCTAGTATGACCTCCTCCTGCTGCTGCTGTTGTAGTATCTTCACTCTGTATATGGCGGCGTTTTGAAGGGTACATTTGTAACTGATTCATACTCAAAAGATGATCATGATGAATCCCTGAGCTCTGCAAATTAGTACTGGTAGTTGTAGTAGTGGTACCATGCAATTCAGAGAATTTGAGACCTTCTTGATCATGAATTGAGCTGTCATCATTAGACTTGAATCCAAAGCTTCCTAGGAACAATGACTGATCAGTAGTACTTGTTGTTGCTCCAATCTGGGCAGCTTTCTGAAGTAGAGCTGTGGCAGAGATGGTTGCAGCAGCAGAGGAATGTGTTTGATGAGATTGATGTAAATGTTGGGTACTGAACAAAGAAGGAACAGTCATCATCATCTGATTGCTATTTTGACTACTTCCACCATCATTCTCTTTAAGCTGCTTGTTTAGGGCAAGGGTGGAAGTGGGACCACTGTTGGAGGAGGAGGAGAGTTTACTTCCAAAATCCCAATCCAGTTGATAATTTGTTGGTGTAGAATTAACAAAAGAATCAGTAGGAAACAGTAGCCCTGATGAAGATGACGATGAGATCACTGTGGACACAGCTGAATTAATAAGATGATGTTGATGAGGTATTTGTTGGAGGTTATTATTATTACTAGTATTGGGAATTTTGTCTTGATGGCCTTGATGAGATGATGAGATTCCATGGCCCATCCAAAGGGGAAGAGCAGCAGATTGTCTTATTGGATTAATGCAGGTTTCAGTAGTAGTACTGTTGCTGGTTGTGATTGGTTTGAAAATTGATGAGAAATGTGGTTGCTGCCCCATAGCTCCAAGTGATGCTCCCACAAACTGATAATTGATGGAATTGGCTGCTACAACATTGGATGCTGCTGTCACTCTTGCTGTTTCTTCAGCTAAAGCATCACAAAAGGCCCTATGTGTTATGAAGCTATCTCTCCTGTTCATCATATATACAACACATACACATCCCATCAGTGCCAGATGTTGAAAAACAATAAGATTGGCCGAGATTTTGGAAAAGAAAAAATAATCGATTTCAGGAGTCAAAAGTTAGCATAAACTTAGGCAAGGAGACAACTTTATTGTGTAGGATGGTACATCTCAATTAGACAAAGTAAGATGGGAAGGGCCATATAAAACAATAAACTACACAAAAAAGTTAGTCATCATTAGGCTAAAAAGACATTGAAGAATAATGTTATGTGTTTTTTATGTCCATGATCATGGAGGAAAAGCAATGAAATCAATTTTCACAATGAAGAGAGACCAATTTTTGATTTTCCCTCCTCGCGAAAGTTGATGGAGCAGTTGGCTCGCAAATCGTTGCCCTACCAAATGTTAGGAGTTCGAATTTCATGCTTTGATACGGAAATGTAGCATCCCTGAATTCCCTCCCACCTCTCGCTATTAAGCTTACTAATTTAGTTAGCCTATATTTCTCTAGATCTTACAAAACCTTCCCCAAAAATGTAGAAATAAGGGGGGGTGGGTGGGGAGAGAACAAAGTGGGTAGATGGCGTCTAGCCTAAACAAGAAATAAGGTGACCATGGGAATAGCACATGAATCAAGAAAATACCCTTATTATTTTTTTTTCCTTTGTGGTTCTCCAATACATCTAATTTACGATTCCTATTTGCATGTCACATTTAGATCACCACTATTCCAAACACTACAACACATATTTTCTAAGTTGTGACAAAAACACATAACAAAAACGAACAACGTATTTTTTACCGAGAAAAAAAAAACGTACAATACTTATTCAGTTTAACAATCATGATACTTAGGAACGTACCGTGAAAAAATAGTGCCGCAGCCACATTTGTACTCCCTAGTGCCACAAGTCTTTGAGTGGGCTTTCCAATCTGACTGAACAGCATACCGTTTAGAGCACTTCTCACACTTCCACTTCTTCTCTCCATGCTTTCTACAGAAGTGCTTCTTTATCCCAGTTAAGTCCCCAAGTGCCCTAGATGGATGGTGATGTACACATGACTTTTCAGGGCATACGTAAACCCGCTTCCTGACTTCTTTACTGCTTCTTTGCTTCAGTTTCCATGGCAAATTGTGGCCTCTTCTATGCAACTGCAAATTCTGATCCCTTTGGAAACCCTTTCCGCATATCTCACACAAGAACCGATTCGTCGCCATCAGCGTCTTTGGTGATAGTGCAATGACTTCAGCTTCAGGATCTGTACAAAAATGATGAAACCTCGTGATGAATATTAATGAATATACTCATGATGACAAAAAAGCCGAACAATAAAAAAAAAAGAAGAGCTTTTGGGATATTAGTTTGCCTGGTGTTCCTGGAAGGTTTCTCTTCCTCTTTAGAGTTGGAAGATTATTGGCTTCTCCAATGTTTGGAGTTTGAGTGAAAGAACTTGAGATTGCTTCTTCTGCAGTCATCTTCTTTTCAAGGAATCTTCTTACAATAAGTCTAACACATATATATTCAAGATCAAAGAAAAATGGGATCCAAATGGCCTGAAAGATATATATATCTATATACTCTTTTCCTTATTCTGTGTGTGTGTGTGTGTGTGTGTTTGTGTCACATCCAGTGAGGAATTTAGAGGGAATTTTCAGAGGGAAGCAAGAAAAGGGTAGTGAGATATGACATTAACACAAACTTATAAGAAGTGAAGTGGCTAATAAGTTTCCTTAATATCTTATATATGAAGGGAATAACCAGATTTCTTGCAACTCTTAGATTAGTACTAGTTTGTTGTGTTGTCTGCAGCCTTTTCACTGCTTTTTTTCCCTGTCTGAATAGAATATTATGAATTTCATGGGAGGCGGTGAAAAGTGAAATTATGGGGGGTAAGAAGAGAGGGAGGAAGTTGGGGACATAGGTTTGGCTTAAAACATCCAACACACTTTGTAGGTGCATGATGACACATATGATGAGGATTGGAGAAAGGTAGACTGTGAGCCTTTTCCCCTTGGAATGATTATACCATAATTGTTAGCTTTTTGTTTTCTCTTTTCTTTTCTTTTTTTTTTTTACATATTATTATTATTATTATTATTATTATTATTATTCAAACTATTCTCTCCTCCAATCAATATACTTGAAAGTATTTGTTTTCTTCCATAAAGCGCAATGCCTTGATATATTTTTCAAACAGCCCCGCATTATAAATCACAAAGGCTTTATCCTTATATGCTTTGTTATTACATGCATGTCTGATCAATTTACACATGTATTTCTTGCTTCTTTTACTAGGAAACTATAAAGTTTGAGTCAAAAGCTAGCCCATGCGTATTCATAGAACAATTACACGTACTTAACAAATTTCATAAAAACGGTAATCCAGAATGATACTTCCCAATGTTCATTATCTCTCAAGTTTTTGTTTTTAAAGGAACCAGAATGGTACGTAATATGTGTAATTATTATGTCACCAATTTTAGAGGTTTGAACAAAATGTGTGATTTTTGCGTTTGATTTTCTTAACGTGTACATGTCTTTGAATCTTTGAGGGTTCGAGACCTAGAAAAGCCATGCACGTGCCCGACTGTGAAAAATACAAGGTAAAATCCAAAGAAAACGACGAGAAAACACACATAAAAGGGAATAATCGTCCTTATGATACTACCAACAATTGGCAGTCCCACATCTCAAAATCGGAGCAAAATGCACATTCTAATGTAGATCTGTGTGTTGCATGCCCACTTGTCTGCACATTTTTTCAACAAAGGGAAATAATAGCAGTACTTTATTGAAAAGACAGTGGGATATATCTTTTAGGAAAATTACCAAATGTTGGTTGGAATTTGAATTAATCCTTAAAACAAATGATTCCAGATCCATCTACCCGTAGTCCCTGAAATGTATGCTCTTAATTTGGTCTTTAAAAGTTTTGTTTACTAATTACAATTTTTTTTTGGAAACAAAATATAATTGATAAAAAAAAAGAGGATACAGGTCTGAAAAAGATCACATTATTATCGGTCATAATGTCATTCAAAATATATATATATATATATATATATATATATATTGTTTTCAGAAGAAGATCACATTCAAACTGATTGCTAGTGTTTACCCGATGAAGTTTACTGAAGGAGAAGGCTTTGATTGTTGGATGGACTCCTTGAATGGTAGTTGATGACCATACCCTTCTTCAGTTCATCCTCCACTTTATTGCTTTTCCCCCCTGTCATTAAAGGTTTAAAGCAATCTGGGAAAAGTGTCTGTAGAATCATTTTACCCGTTTTGACATGTGGGAATTTCGAATCGGCCTCATATATACTCCTAAGTGTAGCTCATTCAAAGTGTGTATGTTTGAACTTTCGATAAAGAAGAAAAGGGTAAAAAAACCCCATATAGAGAGCTTCAAGTTTGCAAGGAAATCACAATATATGCCGGGCACCTCTTTTTCTATAATAAACTAAAAAAAGTGTCGCTTGATCAATTAATTTCTTACAATCTGATTGATTGGTGTGGTAGTCACACGATATAAAATTCTTCTATTTAATCACGTTACAGATACATAATTTCTTTTTCTATTTAATCACTCATGAATGTTTCATTCAATGTCGATTATATAATTAGGGAGGCCAACCTTAATGAAATCATGGTTTGGTCCTCATGATCTGACTCTCTTAGAAGAGAACACTAGTCCATATATCCTCATCCTTGCACTGTCACTAACAAAGCCAAAAATATTGTTGCAAAATTATTTTCCCGCAATCCAATCTTAACACCACAAATGAATGTGGGATAAATGACTTAATTAATTTTGTACAAGTGACTATAATAAAAGGAAGAATGCTTTTCCTATGGTTGAAACATATAAGCCATAGAGTTAATTACGAGGTAGCAAGAATTAAGAAATATTTAGAAAATGAGTATTGAAAGGTTTATAGAACGAAGAATAGCTTAAAAGACAGAGAACTGACAAAAGGCAGTGAATTTTTGGAGAAGGGAGCGGTCGTCGACTTGTGGGCTGACTTTTCCTGGGTACAAGCCTTCATCATCATAATCTAATCATATTTTTGGCTTTCTAACTTTGTTTAGTATTTGTGTTTTGGAATTTAGCTGTTGAACTTTGGTGGCCTTAGAATATTCTTCCCTTCCCCCAAAGGCTTCAACTTTCAAGGTCCAGCTCTTCTTGTTTAGTGTTTACTATCTTAGCTAATACTCAATAATTATTTTAATAATTTATACAACATTATCTAGCCATATATGCCCTTCTTTCGCTAAAATATATTAGATTGGATCGCGGTTTTCAATGAATTTGGTTAATAATTTGAACATAATTGAATACAAATGCTTTTGTAATTTGACTAAGATTGTAATTAAGGATTTGAAATGGAGTTTGGGAAAAGTAAATGGTTGTCACCTTGGGGTATGTTTGTTTCTTTGTTGTCTTTTACGTTGTAACTAACTGAAGAGATACACCAAACAATTTTTTTTTTTTTTATGCAATTATAGGGTTTAATCCTCTCTACTCCTAGTCAGGTCTAAGAGCATATCTTAATTTACTCATCTCAAGGAATGGATTTATGTGTCTCTGAGTATATAGAGTACATCCAAAACCTTAGGTAATACCATCGAAAGGTGATTAATTAAGATTTTATGTGGGGGGTTGGCCTCTACTCGATAATTCTCTGATCCATACGTAGGTTTTGTACCAAAGAGTAGGAATGGAATTAATGTCTCCAGCCCACAAATTTACAAAATTCAATCAAATATTCTTCTCATTCCAAAATTATAAAATATAATCATATTTATTATACTAAAATAATACATTTAATGAAGATGACTTTTGTTTTTCCTCTGATAAAGATGGAGGGAGAAAGTAATCTTCTATGCGCCGAACAGTGGCGTCTCATGTAAAAAGAAATCTTAAGTACTTCCTCCGGTAATTAATATAAAACATTTTAATTTTTTTAGGTTTTATTAAATATATATTTTTAATTGACAAAAAAATCTTTAAAAAATTTCATAACAATCAAGAGAACGCAACGAATACCATTTAACTTTAAGTCGAATATCAATCAATGAAAATTTAAGAAACCATTCGAATGATTTAGAGTACTGTAACATTGCGTGAATCTCCTACATATATACAAGGACTGAAGGACATGAATTGATCTCATCCAACTTTTCCTTTTTTTTCCCACTTTTTCTTCGGGGTTGGGCGTTGCAAATAGTGTAAATGATTTTTTTACATCATAATCTTACTACACTTTCTAAATCATTATATAATATTTTCATATTTCTCTATTTAAATATTATTGTTCTTTTTGAAAATGTTACTAACACTCTAACTCACTTTTGGATGAATCCGCCGAGATCATAGTCAAAATTTTTGCAACTGATATAATAGTGAAAAATTATAGTATAGGAAATTTTTTGCCTAAAAAATAGTACGTAATAGAAATAGGATCCGTATAATTAATCCAAAAGACTCCAAATTTGAAGATTTGACCAGATTTGGTAAGTTAATTTTACAAAGTTTGATGTATTGTAGATTTGGATCTAGAAATCCTACATAGTGCCCACTTGTTTCCGATCATCAAAAGATGGAAAATGCAGTACAGTATCTTACTTTATGAAAACCCTAAACTAGTATTAATGTAGTCATATTATCTCTTTGCTTTTGCTTTTTAGGACTAAAAAACAAGGGTTGGACGTGTCAGAAATCGTGCACAAGACTTAAACATGTCAAGTGAAGGAATGTTGTTAAATATTGGTGGCAGTGTACATGTCTTTGGACCATGATGAGGACGGGTTTTCAGATTCCAGATCAAATTTTTGACTCACAAAAAGAAGGCAAATTAAATTTCTTTTAGATGAAGCAAATATCTCGATGAAAGTGTTTATCAATGTTTAGATTTGCATCTAGTTAGTTGGAACGTAATAGTCAACTAATGAGTGTAAGGTAAATTAGTAATACAGCCATTAACTAACGCTTCAGGAGAATCGAAATCAAATCTACCCAAGAGGAACCTCTATAACAAATTATTGAGTTACATCCTTTCCTCGTCTTTAAGAATTATCTTCAAAATAAGTTTCATATGGGTAGATAATATATATATATATACACACACACACTATACCACTCAATTCCACAGACTTCAGGTTTTACAATCCAAAACATCGCATTTGATAATAGCTACCATGTGAACACAAACGTTGGACGAGAAAAATTATAATCATGAGATGATGGTTTAAAACTCGTTGGGATTAATTAAATAAAAAAATAGCAATTGAGCTCAAAGAAAGAGATCCATTTGAATAGTTGATAGAGAAACAAAAATTCAAAAAATAGTCGATATGGATGAAAAGCTATAGACAAGGAGGACTTAGTTATTTTGTCATTTTGAGCAAATAAGCTGATTGATTAGCTTTGTTTTATTTATTTTTTGCAACCTATAGTACGTAACTTCTTTATTAATTGATTAAACGAAGACACATCACTCATACATTTATTACTATTTTAGTCAAAAAAGTTACATTTTGTAAATATAACAACAAAATTTATCAGTACACACTCCAATAATTTCTTCCATATCCGCAGGATGATGTAGTCATGTAGGCTACCCATTTTGTTATTTAATCTAACATTTAGTTTTATATATTAAACATTCGATGCTTACTTTTAATTGGATAATCATCAAAGAAAAATTAATGCTTAACAAAGATAAAGAATATGAAAAGTTTTCTTTATCATAAGTGTTTGGAACTGTTTAGGATGTATTATTTTTCTTACGAATCAAAAAGTATTAATACTCTGTTTGTTTAATGGGAGAATCATTTCAAGATGGGAATAGTATTTCATTATTAAAGAAAAGTACCGTACGCACCGATTTATCACTATTAGCCCTAAGCCCCATGTATTATGTACCTTAAAAGTTAATATCTAATGTTTAAGAAATTTGCATTGGAATTAATATCATTTGTTTAAAAGGCTTAATTTATGTGAAAAATTTCAACAAATATTCTCAAATAAAGGCAAAAAATAAAATAAAATTGTAGAATAATCTATTAAATGAAGTGCCTTACCAAGAGAAATAAGGTAGATTCGTTTCCAAGGTTATAAAGTCACAAATCTATAACTCCATAACAAAAAATACCTTGTAATGATGAAAATCTTAAAATTCTTTACTTCATTGTTTAGACACCGTTCAATTCTTAAACATTTTATGGGATGAAGAAAGTTAGTAATTAAGAATATTAATGACGTTAAAATTATGAAATTCTTCAATACAACCGGTTAAAATATGTAAATCTTTTTTTCTAAATGAAATAGTCAATTTCTACTTATATGAACAATTGGTTTCCTTAGTATTAAGTTGGAAGATAATCCATTATAATAATCCTTTATTGACGCTCGTTCTCTAGGATAACTTTCTCTAGGATAACCTTTCTCTCTTTCTCAATGTCCTCCGTTATTTCAGTCAATAACGACCAAAATTATCAGCTTTTGAAAAATTAGTATTGAAATATGATGGGAGACTAGGAGTCATTTTCAATTGCTTGAGCATGTCTGTAAAGTGAGAAATAATTTCAATGAAAAAGGCATATATATTTGTGTTATTTTGAGTGCTGAAACCTAGATAGCTAGCTAGCTAGCTAGCTAACATTTTAGTTGAATAACTTTTTTTTTGCGTGCCTCTCTCTGAAGATATTTGTGTTTGTGGAGCTAGCACACTCAAAAGAATTAATTTTATGATTAACAAATGCAAGCATGCTTAATCAACAAGTCGCTCTCACATATTGTTTAACAGCATTACACATTAATACGTGTTAAGAGATTGAGTTCAATGATTAGAGTCATTATGAGAAAGAGTGATAGATCAATAAAAAGAGGTCACTCAGTTAATCTAAAAGAAAGAGTTATATTCTTGTAATTCTTATGAAAATTTTTTGCATTAGCATAATACGTAATTCTCAATTGAGATATCACCATATAAGTGAAAGGAAGATATGGTTGATATTTCGTGTCGTTACTTTGTACAATTAAATAAGAAGTTACAACTTTTTCATTCTAATAAGCTTGTGTTTAAAGAAGGGTTGGGCGATGTTTGGATGAGTTGGTAAGAGTACTAAATTGTTATCTCAAAAGTTGAATTTTGTTGAAACAATCTATTTTATTTGAAACCTTGTGCTTTAAGAAGTTTCTTGCGTATTTTTTCTAACCGAACTTATCCGTGCCCTTATAACAAAATACATTGGAGGCTAGAAGGCAAACTCAAGTATAAGTAGTCGTAATATTGATAAATTCTCCAAAGAACGCTGTTTAGTTGAACAAAATTAAGAAGTTCATCGTCCTTTCGAAAATTACAACTTTGTTGTAAGAAGGGGGGATTAACACAAGAAATTTTTGGGATGGGGGCTCGAATAATCGATTTTCTTTAACTGGGAAGCTGTTGAGCGGTCTAATTTTTACTTCAGAACGCCCTAAAAATATTATTTTGACTATTTTATTCTTTTTTTTTTAAAAAAAAGAGAGAGAGTAGGAGACGACGCATTTTTGCTCACGGTTGGCGCTGGAGAAACATGCCACCTATTTTTTTTAATAGTTTGTTTTGTTATATGATTTTATCGAATTAAAATCATACACCATATTTTAGAACAACTCCATGCATGCAGCTTTAAGCTTGTGCATGTATTCGTTAAAATATTCGTCACAAGGGAAAGTAATACTCACGGATCTCCTAAATTTTTTTTTGTCTCATTGTTAATTTGTTGTATGTTCTTCCTGGAAATTTCCAAGAAAATGACCCGAAAAAAAAAAGTCGATAATCTGACTTTGTTAACCAATTTCTTGTTTTTCATATGCCAAAAGAAGTGGAAATGGCAACTAACTTATTAGCAAGCAAATTCCAAGCAAATATTGCCATATGCATAAGAAGGTTAAAGATAACTTTTTGGGTCATGCAAGGAAAAATATTATCAATTCATCTCATCCCCCCACGCCTTTCTTTTCTTATTCGTTTCTTTTTTAATCCCAGATAGATTGGATGGTCCCTATTGATTCCATAGCTAGTGTTTACGAATTACCTTTTTTTATGCGATGACTGGTGAAGGCAAAGCGATTGTGATTGATGGAGTAATGCGTATTCCATTCATGAAATTAAATCAATTTCTGCTTGCCAATTAAATCATATCATGGAATTAACGGTTGAATGGTAACTAAACAATTACTGATATGTACGGATAGCGATTTTGTTTTCGTTTTAAAATATAAAAATAATTTCACCCTTTTTAAAAGAAAGATGAAAATGATTACTTACCATCACGATTGAGCTATTGTACACTATCATAGTACTCCCTCCGTCCCATAATTATTGTCCAGTTTTACTAAAATGAAAGATTTTATTTTTGGTCAAACTTAACTATATTTTACCTTAAACAACCGGATATACCCTTGCATAAGTAATTGTTTAATCACTAAGATTTTATGGATAATGTTTTTTACTAAGGACAAATGTGTAACTTGATCCATAAAAAGTCAAATTGGACAATAATTTTGGGACAAAATTTTTTGGGCAAAGTGGACAATAATTATAGGACGGAGGGAGTATCATATATATATGGTATTACCTACTGTTGCTGGAGCACTGTGCGTGGTCTGAATACACAGTGGTCCGAATATCATTCAATCCGGTTCCGTTGATCGTTGTTGTTGCCGATGGTAGTTGTGGTGGAAAGTGATAGAGAAAATAAAAAATTTTCAAGTTTTAAACCATCAACGTGCATGCCTTTCAAGAATTACTATTGACCATTGATAATTGAATGATGTTTAATGAAATATTAGATGTTAGACCCGTCCGATGGACGGGGTAGGCATACACATTTAGATATTTTTACATAAATTTTGTATTTTTATAAAATATGTAATGATTTCAGTTTTAAACATGATTACCTCTGGATTTACATGAATTTATTTTTTTTTTAAATGACATTTTAAATTCACTGGTGATAAGGTTTAGGCAGATCTCTCTAAAATTTGTTAGGATTTGGTACTCTCTCCAATCAATCTCTGTATTAGGATTTGGTTCATGAAAATAAGGGTTCGGTTTTTATTATTTTGTTTTTTTAAAAAAATTATTTTAGTTATTTTTTTTTTGGTTTTATTATTTTATTTTGTGCATTTTTAAGTCTAAGAAATTAAGAAAATGCCACATAGGATTAAATCCTATGTGGCATGTACTCCATGCTTTTAATTTTCTTTCTCTGGTTTTTACCTTAGTATATTATATAAATAGATTGGGGACTTGTCCTAAGTTCATAGTCATTGATTAGAATAAATATTGATTGAACTTGTCTCCTAGGATAATTTGTGTAACAGAATTAGAATAAGTTTTCGACCTAATTTTATTTGATGTTGTGTTATTCTCCATTGTTTTAAGAAAAGAGTCTTATCTTTTAAATTCAAAAATATCATCAAAATGCATCAAGGAAGGTCCACTTTCTTCTGTCCCCCCTACTAGTACTTCTTCTTGTTCTTCTTCTTCTTCACCTCTATCCCCGCACTTTGTTTTACCACCAAAACAGTTGATTGAAACAAAGAAATAGATTTGAGCTTTTTAGTCTTTATCATACTGCACTATCTTGATGGCGCCATTTCTTTACAAAGTGGAAATAGGTTTTAGTTAAAAGTGCTAGTGGCCTTAGAAAGTTGCTAAGGAAATTTCCTCCCACATTCTTGCCTAATTTCTATAATTTGCCTTTTTTAGTTAATGAAATACCTCAATTTTATGATCCAATCTATTTCATGAAGAAGAACACGGGACTCAAAACTCAAAAGTGTTACAAATTTCTTAAACAAGTAAAAACAAATTTATAAGTATTATACAATTTTAAGTGGTGTTTTAAGAAACATTACTTAGAAAGTTCAATAGAAGATTCAATAGAGCGACTTACTTAAGTTGGCATAGAAGTTTCCGAAAACCGGAGAAACCACTCAACCTTGTAAAATACTTATTAGTTTGGGGTCTGTTTGATAAAAAAAAATAGTGTTTTATTCTGAATACTTAATACTAAATTAGAAATATTAAATTCATTAATCATTTACAGAATAAGCAATAAGTTAACTTTTATTGCTTACATTTTGTAGTGCAGTTTCAGCACCACTTATAATTCATTAATGCTTATAATTTTAAACATTAAATAGCTTTATCAAACATGCCCTTAGTCTACAATGTAAAAGTCACTAGTATAAGGATTATCAATTTATCACTGCCTTAATCCTTGTCCCTCCTTCTCCGTAAAAACAGGGAAAAAAAAACACAAGAAGTTGCCTTTGCCACTCTAATGATCACTTTTACAATTTTCAACACAAGTAAATGAAACAAAAAAAAATAGTGTTTTAATCCACTTTAATTTCCCTCATTGAGAAAAATAAAATAAAATCACTTATATATACATATATATCGCCAATTACAAACAAATTATTAAGTCGCGTGTTTCTATTGAGTAAAAAAGTAATATGTAAAAATTTGAAAATTTAGTTAAACCATTTACCCGCTAGCAAAAAAAAAAAAAATTGTTATTAGGTGTGATAAAATATAAAATCCTAATAGCCCTTTCCAAAAAAAAAAAAATCCTAATAGATTCATTGTCGCGTTTCTTATTCCCGGGACTTTCTTCTGTATTTAAGAAAAATAAACATTCCAAATATAGAAACGCTATTTCGAAGCCTAATTTTCCCCACGTTATGTTTTGTTTCTAAGGCCCAAATTAAGTTGGGCCAACATATCTACTCTTGCAGCTCGGTCCACGATCAAAATAAAGGCAAACTGCAAACTACAAACTCCAAAGTGCGAATTAGCGATGGAGAGTAGAGACTAGAGAGACTAGTGGCAGAGTTTTTGAAGCCAGGCCGATTCTTCTTCTTCAGTGATTGTTCTCCTGATTTTCACACACGTTTTCTGATTATTCAGGCTTGTAACAGGTACCAAATTTTGAATCCTTTGCTCTTCTCACCCTGTTCTTCGATTAAATTTTAGTGATTGTTTTAGAATAATTTAAGCTTGTTCTGGAACTATAGTTGTTATACGCATCTGTTAAAAAGTTGATTTAGGAATGGCGTTGATAATTTGAACAGTTTATGATGCTTCTATGTCCTTCTAGCACGTTCCTAGCCTGTTTGTAGCTGGGGTGCGATGAAATTTTTTGTTGCTTTACTGTGAATTAAGGGCCTTTCCACCTATTTCTGCAATTTAGAATTTACAAGTGGAATTAAGAAATATACGATGATTTGGTTTTTGAGATGCTGGAGGATTCATTACGTGACTGCAATTTTTTGAAGGTAAAACTGATTGAATGATGAATGATAGGTAGCTAGCATCCAATACTACACATTGATTCTCTTAATTTATTCTTGCATCTTCTGGTTTTTTACTCGGCCAATTTTGCATGGGATTAGTTTTGATCTCTAGTAACAATAAGAGTGTTGTAATTAGCTGTTCAATAGTGGTGATGAAAGTACTAAATAATAAGGAAAGAAGAATACTGCTGGCGGAAGATAATGTTTGAAGTATGGGAGAATACTGTTGGAATCTGGTTAGTGGTTGAGGAATATGGTTTGAGCAACGTGTTGTTTAAGCACCGATGGTGCGGCTAGCTCCTTAAAAACCTGATCTCCAAATGGTATTTGTGGAATATTTTCTTCACAGGTTGAAAAGTTACTCGTTAATTTGGAAGCTTAGGTTTCTGAGAAATGAAATATCATTTGAATAATCTTTTTTTTCCATGGTCTCCTCTTTATTTTGGAGCTGCTCCAAGTAGTCCGTGCATTTATCATCTTATCTACTTCAATTTTGGAATGTCCCTTGAATCTATACTAATTGAACTTAACCTTGGTTAAGATGGTTTGATACTGGGTTCACCCTTGTTATATTTCGTGGTTTTCGAATTGTTCTTGTATGGAAGGGTTGTGTGACCAACTGATCTGACTTTTTGCATCTTTCCTGCAGATATTATTCACCTGAAATATCTGAGTGATATCATGGATGCAAAAGCTTTGGCAAAATCTAAGAGAGCTCACTCTTTACATCACAGCAAAAAGTATCAACCAAATCCCACATCTAGAGCATCCACTAGCTCAGTTACAGCTACCAGTGGTAAGAAGGCAACCAGCAAACAAGAAAAAGATAAATCTAATCGGTCGCATGGCTCAAAAGATCTTCCCTCAAATTGGGATCGATATAGGGAAGAGTTTGATTCAGGTTTTGAAGAGACACCTCCAGTAACTAATCACAATCAGGCATGTGATGCTGTTGCACCAAAGAGTAAAGGCGCAGACTATGCTTATTTGCTTAATGAGGCCAAAACTCAATCACAAACAAATGCTACTTCCAATAGCTTAAGTTTGTACGATGATGTTTTTACTGGTATGTTTTCCAACTATATGATTAACTGCTTTTCGCGAGTACGAGTGAACAAAGCTCTATGATCATCGATTCCTTTTGCTTTTACTTAAACTTGAATTGATATTTGTGTTATGAATCTACTTCTTGCATTCTTCTTTATGCAAATTATTGCCATTTCTGAAAAATAGTGGATTTAGATTTATCGGCCCTGACATTGCCTTATTTTAAATTTTCTTATGATCTTTATCTATAAGGTGAACTGAACATCCTTTTCTGTGTTAAGCATTTTGATCATGTTATTCAGTCTTTCGTATGATTGAGCATGTTTGGTGCTTGAGATTTTTATTTCCTTATTTGCGTTTTTGTTCTACTTTCTCCCTTGTTTGGTCTGTTGATCCTGCTGCAATATGTTAGACTACTTGTGTTAATAACAAGAAATACATCTTTTAATAGCACTTTTGTTTTCCTTGTTGCACTTATTTTATTAGCCAAGAGTAATTTTTTAATCTTTTTAATTTGCTTTGTATAAACCACATTTCATTTACATAGTTTTTAAGTCAACTGTAACTTTTGTACTTTTGTTTAACTTTCCGGATAACCTCTGTATATTTGGGCTAGGGCTGAGTACACACCAACCCAACCTAGGTGTTTGTCTTTGGAATGGCCATACATTTGTTTTTGAGGCATATAGAAATCAAAAATTCAGAATTACTGAAGCTGTTCAAAATGAAAAGATGTTGCTGAATATCGATTTTAGTTCTTGTATATATTGATGTTTTTGGGGGTAAGTGGGGAACCACTATTGATCCCTTTCAAAAAAAAAGAAAAAAAGAAAAAAAACATATTGATGTTTGTATCTAGCTTGTGTGCTGTATATATGTATGCACACATTCTTGAATGCTGTTCTTCGTCTCATTTTGTAGTTTTGTAGTTTAAGTTGTTGAGGGTTAACATTTGAATATTCTCAGGGTTCCATCAAGCATTTGCTCCTTTGCTTTCTGTTGAAGGGCAACGGCTGCTATCATGGCTTTCGGATGACAATTTCCCATTTGATGATACAGTATCTGGTGGACAAGAGGTAAACTCTTTCCTTTGCAGTTTCTCTTCATATTAATTTTCTTTGGTTCCTTATGTCTGGATGCCAAAGCTTATGAGTGAAAATGTCTGCCAACTCCGTAAACGAATGAAATGAGCTTTCAAAGTAACAGTGTTTGCTTTGGCAAGACAAAACTTATCTTAGCCTTTTTGCCTATAGGATGTTCTCATGTTAAAATAGTTGCCTCGTATAGCCAGAGTAGTAGATAATAAACAATGCAAACATTGCATATTTGCTTGAATTCCACGATGAATTTTTAACCAGCCAAGTCAAACAAGCTTTTTGGACTCTGTTTGTCTTCAAAAATAGTCAGTTGATGTGAACATTTGAACGCTATGTTCTGGAATAATATTGTAATGATACATGGAAGATACTCGGCTTATTTTCATTTAATCATTACAAGTGTCAGCTAATCAACTAAGGTCGACATGAAAGAAAGAAATAATTCAAGTTTTACTTCCTTTTTTTTCCCCCACGATCGTATCAAATGCAAGATTCCATTTTAACCTAACAGTGAGAGTAACAGATTATATATGTGGTATTCATGACACAGCGTTCCTTCATTCTTATAAATTGACCCTCTGGGAAAATGAGTAGCTAATAGCTTTCAGTATTAAGGGAATGTTGTAAATATGTTTCACTTGCTAGGAATGAGGGACGAGAAAAATGTTTAGATGGTTCAGTGACTATAATTTCCCTAAGCGGGCGTTTGTGGAACTTGTTTGCTTTTGTTATTGAAGTGTATTTTGTTCTGATTCACGTACTTTTCAATTTTGCAGGCATCATTTTTCTCTCTCAATTTAGATTCCCTCGCTGAAAAGCTTTCAAAAGCAAGTTTAGCGGAGAGGCTTTTTATTGAACCAGATGTATTGCCTCCAGAGCTGGTAAGCATAATGACTCCAGTTGACTTTCTTCAAACTAGAGTAGACTTCCTTTCTTGGTGTTTTTACATATGTTAAGATTGAAAAGTCTGGAAGGTATCTCAGCAAATATTTGTGCAGTTCAACAATGTTGTTTCTGCTGCCATCCTAATATTTTCTTGTTTTTCACTCACTGTTCTCATTTGTCGTCAATTAGTTTTTCTAACTACATCTGTTCAGTTCACCTTGTGCTATTTACACATTGCTTGCAAATCTTAGCAATCTGCAAAGCTAATAGTTCTTTGCTCAACACCTTATATATGGTTTTAACCCTATTTCTTCTTATCTAGCAATTGTAAGTTGATGTGGTGTTTAGAGAGTGGTGATACGAATAGTTTTAGAATGAAGCTGAAGCAACTAACTCAAAACTTAAATAATGATGCTGTAATATTTTGCACTTGAATACATGCTCCGTATGCTCTTGATTATTGGTTAATGCCTGTTGGCTCTGTTTTGTGGCAACCTTTCAAGAAAAGGATTCGTGAACATCCTCAATTCAACATAATTATTCATTTTAAAAAAGAATAGAAATATATAAACTTGTATCCAAAATAGTTTCCCCATGGTCTTTAACTTGGTGTACATGATAATGTGATATAAATCCATAAAACCCACGCGTAGTGGGATAAAGGCTTAATTGTTGTTTAGCTTATAATCCAGTTGACAGGAAATAATTTTAGACATCTGCAACTCCATCGTCTGCTGCACTGAATAACAATTTGCTTTAAGTTTATATTCATTCGGTCTCTTATACAATTGTACATGGCAGCTTTCAGAAGTACAAACAAACAGTGAGAAGGATCCTGATCATGCTCTACCTACTGTTAGTACTGATGCAGCGGAGGCCACTTTAGACGGAGAATCTTCCATTAGCATTCCGGAACAAAATAGAAGCACCTTTCAGTCTCCTGAAAGCAGATCATCTATCCCTAGCACAGGCAGCTGTAACGTCTCTGCTCCAACTTCTTCTAACCAGCCTCTAGATGACTTCCTCGGCAATGGAGGCACATCGGAAAAGGTGGCTCTTGAAGTCCATGCAGAGTCTTCTGTTGAAAGATCATCCAGGTTTGAAGGAACTGCTGCAGAGGCAGAGCTTGACATGCTCCTTGACTCTTTTAGTGAAACCAAGTTTTTTGACTCTTCTGCTGTTGCAAAGATTTCGAGTTATACATCTTCAGAAACACAAGCTTCATCTAGTAATTCGGTCCCAGTGCACCGTCCCGGGGAAGGGCCTGATGCAAGAAGCATCAGAAGTATGAACATCACCCTTGATGATAGTCTTGATGACCTACTGAAGGAAACCTCCAAGCAGAGCACTTCAATAAGTGCAAGAGTATTAACAGCAAATGAGGTAAAGATTGTTCCCAGTGATAATCCATCTATGTACCAATCTAATTCCAAGCCGAAAATTTTGGATGATTTTGATTCATGGTTTGACACACTTTAGTTGCTCAGCAGCAGAACTTCAGATCCTGTTGATATGTATGTTGTCTTTTAGCTTGTACTACTATGTGACGACATTTCTTCCCATGTATGGATGCATTACAATGTGGTGCTATACAGTTTTCAGTTCAGTAGTTTTACCGGAAAAAATAAAAAAGAAGAGAATTGATTTATAGATAATTTAGACGTACACTGCTAACACTCCCTCTGTTCCCCAAACTATTGATCAGTTCGGGATAGAGGGAGTACCAATGAAGCTCAAGTGTTGATTTGGTAACCATTGCTGGTGGTTCATTCAATATAACGATGTGAAGATCTTTTTGGCGGTGACGTGATATTGTGATGTATTTAGTTTTGTAAGGCTTTGATGTCTGTTCAGATGAGATACCTACATGGAGAATCCAGAGTTGATAAGATGAGAATCAGATGTGCATCCAAGTTGAACCAATAAGTAGAGACACAAGGACCACAACACATTAACTAAGAGGCCATTCTAGTAGTTATGAACATTTATATGGTAGATAAGGTTTGATCTACTTCTATCAAATGTGTGACAGTTCAATGAAGTGCACTATTATTTTTGGGACGAAGAGAGCATCAAATTTGTTCGGTTAACCAGGAGGATCCACACATTAATAATACTCGTATACTTGTTATGCCAGGTAATCAGAAGCTCCAAACTGTGAAACTGAGAGCTGGGATTGGGATATGCTTTAGTCTAAATCTGCTATATATAGTTGAAAGAATCCAATGGTACATCCTTCCATTTCTTTCTTTTTCAAATCTCCCTTGATGAAGCTATCCAACATGTAACCTTTCAAGTTTCGTGTTCCTGACTTTTAAGCTTCAGATATGCGATCTCTATGTTGCACTTAACAAGAAAATTTTCAAATCTTGACAAATCATTACTTCCAAAAGCCACTCAAGTTTCGGTAAACTAAAAAGAAAAAAGGCACTCACGATCATAATTAATTTTATCATCGTGGGAATAAAATATTCAATATTGTGATTAAAATATTGCTGAGAGAAAAGAACTACATATGCAGTCCGAAGAACTACAGTTTTGACCAATTCCAAATGTCAAAAAGAGTGGTGTGAGATTGTATAGATAAAATGCCTATATTATGTTGTGATGCAATGAATGACACAATGGTTGAAGACCAAGGAATTCTTTTAAGCTACGAATATGCTGCCATTGAAGCATTATAAAAAAATAAAATAAAAAGCAAAAAACAAGCAAAGCAACTGTTGAAATTGAATCCTGTCTTATCCTTTTTGTCTTTTTATTTTACTATGTTTATATTTCTTTGAATTGCCCTCGTCAAGGTTCGAACTTTAATCTCATCGTAACAATTTTTTATTCCTTAATACATACTCCCTCCGTCCCATAATTATTGTCCACTTTTACTAAAATGGAAGATTTTATTTTTGGTCAAATTTAACTATATTTTACCTTAAACAACCGGATATACCCCTACATAAGTAATTGTTTAACCACTAAGATTTTATGGATAATGTTTTTTACTAAGGACAAATGTGTAACTTGATCTATAAAAAGTCAAATTGGACAATAATTTTGGGACAAAATTTTTTGGGCAAAGTGGACAATAATTATGGGACGGAGGGAGTAGTATCTCCATGTCTCAAAATTATTGTCCAGTTTGAATTTTCATTTTTAGTTCAATGTGTACGTAGAAATGAAAATCTATACTTGGCAATAATTTCAAGACAGAAGAAGTATTCTTTATGTCCTAATGCAATAGTTCATTTGTTGACTAACTTAATGCAATAAAATAGAATATTTTTTTTTAAAAAAAAAAGAGAATATTATTTTGTTCAGAAGATAATAATAACACTAATAATAATAAAAATTGTTACGATAGACTTAATTTTAGTAAACTCTCATAAGGGGCAGTCCCGATTCAAACAAATCCAGATTTCACTATCTGAACTTATGTGTTTTCAAATAAACTCTTTATTTTGACGTAATGGCATATACCATGGAGTAGTCAAATATCTGCTAACTAACCAACTTGGGTTCGTCAATGAAAAAATAAAAAATTTTAAGAAAAGTTATTACGTTATCAAGATTAAATTGGATTATTTCACCTTTGATACCGTCTATTTCGGCTCAGACGTGTTATTTCCTGTCAATTTCATGGTTTTGTTGTTTAAACCATCAACCCGACGTACATATTTTGTCCTTGTTGATAAAAATGAGAGACGAAAATTTCTCTCAAGTTTACATTGTGGGAGTAATTGTACCGTGGCTCTATGGTCTTATATGGAGGAATTAAGGCCACCAACGGTAAGTATATATTTGCTGCTAGCCTCAATTGATCAACTATTTTTCCTTGGAATTTGTTATTGGGAAAAAATATACTCCCTCTGTCCCATAATTATTTTTCAATTTGAGTTTTTATTTCTAGTTCAAATTGTACTAAAAGTGAAATCTCAAACTGGACAGTAATTTTGGGACAGAGGGAGTACCATCCTTAATTATATTGCGCTAAATATACAATTTAGCAAATTATTTGAGTATAAGAAAATCATTCATCATAATTATAATGTCTTATATCAATTTAATATATGCACAAAATATACCACCTTGTGAATTAGTATTACTTGATGGATATGTAAAAATGAATTGCGAACCACTTTTGATACAAGTAAATGTACAAGTAAACATCAAAACATTGTTCATAGTCATATACGTGTCATTTCTTAAAATTATTTTTCCCGGTTTTCTTGGTTATCTCAGTTAGGACACGTTGGTTGGGTTTGAGTGATGAACAGATTTGCTTCTTTGGAAAAAAAAAAAAAAAAAAGAATAGGAAAAACAAAAGAAAAAAATGGCCTTCTCGATGCATATGATTTGTTACGACTGGAGCAATGTTTAATTAGCCGCCACGCTATAAATCAAGGCCCCCAATAGTCAAGCTTAACACACACACACACACAATTAGTGTCAATGATACAACTGAGATCAATTAAAAAACTCTTAAAAAAATTCACTATTTCAATGAATTTAACATAGTTACATCATCTTAGATGACGTAGTTTATGCATATTTAATATATTTCTCTTTAAGTTAGTAATAATCACTTAATTATACAGAAACAGTCTATATTATAATTGTAGATTATACCATAATAATTTACAAATTATACTAATATACTGGAGTACTATTTTTCTGTGATAGAAATATACAATTTTCTCGTCAAAAAGTTCATAAAGAAAGCGAGACTATAATTTTCTTTTTACTATTTCTTCTGCTTTCTTTTCTAAATTCTTTTCTATACTTCTAAAAAAAAAAAATTATAGGGAAAAGTAGAAGGAAGTATAGAAAAGAAGGGGAGAAAATGAGGAAGGGGTTTTTTTTTTTTTTTTTGGTAAATTGAGGAAGGGTATTTTACTCTTCTCAATGATCCCACCGGAGACTGTAACTATCTCCGTCATTTTTACTTATATTTTGCTATTTAATTAAGCATTTCGAAGAAATTTTTATGTCATCCAAGCAAACGAAAGATTATTGGCATAACTGAAAGAAAGGTAGAGATTAATATTAATTAAAGCCCAGAAATATTTGTTCTCGGACAAAAATACTAAATCACTAAGGTATAAGTAAAAAAAAAAAAAAATATTTTAAAATTGGTGAGAATTATATCAAAATTTACAACCACAAGGCTCCGGCTTTTTTCAAAATAGGGGTCAACTCCCCTGTAATATGAGTAGCCATGACCCGATCCAATCCCCCAAACAATTGGCCGCCGATGAACACCACCGGCAACTGTACCCGCCGCCGGCCATCTTCACCGCCGTCTCCACTGCCGATCATCCTTTCCAGCTCGGCGATCACGTCGTTCTCCTCCTCTTCTTCCACCTCAAACACCGGAGGATTCACACCTAAACCTTGCAACAACCGCTTCACGACGTGGCTCATACAACAACCTCGTTTCCCGATCACGATCACCGCGTTCACCTTGATCTCGTTCTTCAGTTCCTCCTTCGCCCCGCCTCCTTTCACTTTGAAAACCGAACCGACTCCGCCGGCGCCGCCGGCGACGGCGACGCTGACGCCGCCGCTTCTAGTAATCGCGGTGGTTAAAGGGTTGTCTTTGGTCGGCATTGGAAGCCAGGTTTTATACGGCAGTGCTTCTTGCATGGTTTTTATTTAGAAATTGTCTGTTTCGTCTGACAGCTTTCTCTTTAATTTTTCTCTAGTGTGTGTGTGTGTGCGTGTTTTTTTTTCCTTTCCTTTTTTTGAAGAAATCAATGAATGGTACCAAATGCGAAAATGGGAAGCAAATAGGATCTTAGGGGGGAAGATAGATGTGGTTTGAGTTTGAGGAATATGTGGTGTTATATATATGTGGGGAAATGGAAGTGGGGGGACTTGAAAGAGTCCGGCGTCAACGGCAGTTACGGTTTCTTACGCGTAACATAGGTTGTGGCTTACGTTTCATCATGTCACTCCCTCCTTATATTAATTATTAATTAGCTGTTTGTTTCCGGCTTTTGCATAAATATATTTTTACAATAAAAACTTTCATCTCTAGTTGGCCTTTATTTCAACTTGATCCTTTAAGAATTTCCGAATTGTAATGATTTAACATTTTGGGGTTTTGATCATGTGATCTGATAGTAATGATTAATATTTTGGGGTTTTGATCATGTGATAATCAGATGTCAACCTCTATCCAACTGATTAATCTGCTAACGACTGAATTAAAACTATAAATTATTAAAACCGAATCTCATCTTACGACGATGGATATTACGTATACTAAACTCTTAACAAAACTGTGCAATCAACAAAAGGAATGAGAGATAGCAGTTGTAAGTAATTGTTAAGCATCTCCAAAACAAACACAAAAGAAAAAGAAAAATAAAAGAAAAACATAATATGCTAAAGGATTTATGTAGACAATTATTTCTAACTTGTCTCGAAAAAATTGTGGCTAAATTTAGTTGAAAAAATTATAGTCAAATTAGTAACAACGTCTTTTACCAGTATTATTTGGAATTAGGAGTGAGAAGGATGGGGCTAGCTAATCCATTGTCAAAGACTAAAAACCTAAAACAATTGATCAACCGATCATCAACAGATTGATAAATCAATACTATCATTTTGTGATTTTAACGTTGATTCTTAATTTTGATATTTTGAGGGGGGCATTTTATAAATAAGAGTATACAGGAAGCTTTAAATGGAAGGTAGTATATAGTAGTAGTATAGAGTAATTTATTAGTACGTCATGACTTGTGCGGTGTGTAAAATAGAATTGTTGGTAATCCCATTAGCTACGTCCCACTGATTATGATATTCAGCCATAACCACGTCACCCATTTGTGTTTTCTAATGATGTTTGCTTTTGTCATCTTCCTCCAGTTCCGCCGAAGCTGACCTGTTTGTTTTGAGACTTGGAGTATAAAAAATTACTACTACTACTAAGGTAATGGACTAATGAGATATATACTCCTCCACACTATTGTTGTAATTTTGCAAACCAATCCTTCGTCAACTATTGATCTTTTCACTTTGTACAAACTAGCCTAAATATGAATTACATTTCATAAAATTTTCTTATCATGTTTTGCAAACTAGATATTATGACAATTGAGCAATTTTTTTTCTTCAAGGAATTTCATCAGTAGATATTGTGGATGATCATTTCGGTAATGATCATCGACAACATCATTAGTTGCTATAATAAGTCAAAATTATATTCGACTTTAGCATACATAGTAAGATTGCTTTACAGAACATCAATATTAACAACCTCGAGATTTTTTAGGAGATAGCGAGTGAGTTATGCTCAAAGACAAAACTTGATTTACATTACACATGTAACCAAAACAGTTTAGTATTTAGATTCAATGATTTTGTTCATAATTCAAGACATGTATACCTATACTGAAAACGTAAAATTGTGGAGCTAATTGTAGCGAAATGTGGAAAATTTAAAAACCTGTTAGCTGAAGAGGTAAATTATGCCGCCTTGATTGTAGAAGTGTAAATTTGCAGAATTGAAAGGGGTACTTTGTAAATTAACGTTGGTTAGACAAAGGCGGTATTAATTGGATAAATGTATTAGGGAGCAAGTCGTCATAGATGAAGAAATGCATCCAAGTAGTGGGCGGAAATCATCATGCTGAAGTGGGCATAAGATTATCTCCTCAATTTCAGCAAAGCCAAACCTGAATTAGATATTTTGTTGACGAAAGCTTTTATTATATCTTTCTTTCTACGTTTAATTTTGAATAATAATCTGTAAGTAGGAGGAGTTGATTTTGACACCGCCAATGCATATGCATCAAGTATTTTCTAGCACATACAATACTCAATCAATCAAGGAACTATCTTAATACCTCCCCGCCACTCCAAATTATTATCTCGTTCATAATTCAATAACTTTTCTTATCTGTTAAAATTTGAATAAATATTGCTTGGACCAAATATTACGTGACAATTGTGTTTGATCGTATACAAATTTGTCTATAAAGAGAAATTCAATGCAACTTAAACTCATTTGATGATTTTCCGGCTAATACTTCAATCCAGTTTCCTATCAAATTTCATATCCTGAGTTAATAACGAACTTCAAAATTTCAAGAATCAACAGAAAATGGAAGGGGAATTCAATCTACACCACAAAATTGGCAATACAAAAACTAGTTCGTCATTTCAAATGATTACTTGTTTGAACTTTGAACTGGAAAATGTTTCTTGATGGAATTAATTAGTAATTATTAGCGTGCAGAGCAAATCATAGTCTCACTCTCACCTCTAACATGATCAATAAAATAAAATAAAATAAACCTCCCACGCAAGAATCATGCAAATTATTAAACAATTGTATTTACTCGAACAACTCTCACATATCATTTTGTTTCCACATCAACCCAATTGGAAACATTAAAAAAAAAATATTAAGGTTATCAAAATTAAAATAAATTGATGAATGACTAAAAGGAAAAACGGAGAAAGAATTGTGATGTAAAATGTAAACGGACCGGGAAGAAAAAGAAAGGTAGACAAAAGAGCCGCTCGCGGACGGTGCGCGATGACGACGTCAGCTAGTCGACAAAAACCGAAACGTTAGGATCAAAGACACGTCATTCAAACTTCTACCTGACGTTAGATATGGAGGGTGTGTGGGGTCCGGGGACAAGGATAATTTTGTAGTAAGTATGTTTTTTAATGTGACGTCACTCCGAGAGAAGCAAACGTGACCGGTGACCCCCTTGATAGTCCACGTGTTGGATGACGTACTGTGTGACTAAAGACAGGTGGCTGTGACTTATATCCAGCCACTGGATTTCTGGAGGACGTGTTTGCCTGATTTTCCATCCAACTCTCTCACAATGAAACCCACCGAACTTTTAGAGTTTATTACAGAATTGGTCCTTATACTTTTAGGATATCAATTCTTGTTAATATTGCAACACACTTCCTCCCGTCTATAATATAAGATATTTTAATTTGTCCTAGATTTCATCTAATACGCATTTTTAATTGACAAAAAATCTTAAAAATATTTCGTAACTATCAAGAGAATATAAAAATGTAAAAATATATTTTTAAGATTTTTTTCTTCAATTAAAAATATGTATTAAATAAAATATAGGACAAATCAAAATATTTTATATTAAGGATAGAAGGGAATACAATATTACTTCAACAAATGGTAAATGACGCAGACTTGGTGTTTTTCTCGTCATATGGGTGAATCACCATTCAACCTAATTAATGTAACTGTTTCAAAATTATTATACAATTAGGATTTTCAGTTTTAGTACACATTAAATTATTATCTCTGTTTTTATTTATTTATCACTTTAGGATTTGCATAACTATTAAAAAAATAATGATTGAGAATTTAATTTATAAGGATATTGTCTTTCTTACCCCTAATTAAAAGTATTTGAACTCTAAAAAATTTGAAATTGAAGCTAAAGAGTACGTAGTTGTCATTAATAAATGTTATTAAAAATAGAGAGAGATAATGGTAAAATTGAAAAAATAATATTTAATGTTGCATTAAAAATAAAGTGCAACAGATAAAAAAATACTTTGGATTCACTCTAAAACGATAGATAAAAAAAACAAAGGTAATAAAAGTGAAAATCTAGACTGGACAATAATTTTGAGATAGAAAAATTAATTGACAATTGAGATTTGAATGTTGGATGGAACACTCAATTTTGCAACGGATGCATGTTCCTTCCTTAATTTCTATTTCCTCCTTCCCATAATTATTGTCCAGTTTGGGTTTTCATTTCTAATTCAAATTATATTAAAAGTGAAATCTCAAACTAGACAATAATTTTGGGACATAGAGAATATTTATGTTAGTTATTAAGGCACGGTTGATCATCTCGTGTTATCGAATCAACCTGCTCATGAAATTGATCACAAGTCTTAGAATTTTTTTTTTTTAAAAGGTACCTATACATTAATTAGTACTTGTGATAGCTGAATCGTGCTGACATAAAATGCTAGGATTTTAATATGCAATTGGTTTTAGCTTGAAAATTGTAAAACATATCATAAGGAAGAGATATGATTATATGAAATAGTTGTTGTTGTTTTCTTCAAAAGAAAAAAAAAAAAAAACATAGGCTGTTGTTGGTCCGAAAGCTTTCTCTTTTAATTAAATATACTTCTAACATCTTAGAAATTATGCATTCTATTATATTGCTTCAATAAAGTAAATTATTTTTCGAGACAGAAAGAATGGCGTTAATCTGACCTCATTCCTCCTTATGGTGGCTGTTGATTAATTAATTTGTAGTCGAAACCTTCAAATCTATCAATTGCAGCAGCTTTGATTCTGAAACCAATGCTTGAAATAGTAGGTTCATTCATGATTTGTTTTCGAACAAATACTAGTATTATCCTTGGGCTCTTGGCTATGTCAGCAGATTCACGACTTACAACACTGATTATGGAGATTTCGTTTGGATTTGGGTAGGTTCATGAATTTTGAGGTAGCCAAAAAAAGAAAAAAAGAAAAAAAAGAAAGAAAGAGAGAGATTAAATGTGGTAAACCAAATTTAATTACTACACCTGTTCATCTATTCTTTTTTTTATAATTTTATTTCAACCACCGCCCCCAGTTCATTATTACGTATTTTTACTTGCTGAACTACATCTACTTATTTTGATTTGATAAGTCCAAACCATCTGAACCTTTATTTTCTTCGGATCTAGGAAATATCTTAAAGTATGCCCAAAAATTACATTGTTTAACTATGACATCTGTAACTAAGTCTCATTTAATTCAACTCTAATAGTTTTTGTTCTCAATCGGTTTTTGATGTACTCGCTCCGATTTTTATTATAAGGCATTTTGACTTTTCTTAAGTTTCACATACTACGCATTTTTAATTGACAAACAAACCTTAAAAATATATTTTAACATTTGTCGTGTTCTCTAAATTATTATGAAATATTTTTAAGGATTTTTTGTCAAGTAAAAAAGTATATTATGTGAAACCTATGTCAAATCATAATAACTTATATTAAGGACCGGAGGAATTACAAAGAAAGGATCGAAATTTATAAATGTAGATAAGATATCTTGATCATTTATTAAATTATAATAGTTTCTTTGTTGAAAAGAAAAAGAAGATATTGTACATGGTACTGTAGTTAGTTTTCGAGCTGCCTAATTTCACATGTTTCATTCATCCCGTCAAGCAAATTACATTAACCATATCTCTAGTAGAGTATTTTGGATTTTTTTTCCCTTTTCTTTTTTTCCTCTCTGAGTTACTAAAAAATGTTTAAGAAAATCTATTATACTACCTATATAAAAATTGCTATATTTCTGTTCAAAATGCGGCTAAGGTGCACAACCAATGACCAGAGGACGACTAGGCTTATCTATAACGAACAGGGTGGACCACCGTCAGCAATCATGCACCTCCCCACACTACAACATGGGCTACCGGCCTCCGATCTTCTGTCTTCATTAATAAAAATCCCCACTATTCTTTGACACCCTTCTTTGGACAGTGAATTGGTTTTTGACTTCAAGTTTATTGCCTGCTACACGCTTTTAATTAAGATCACCGACTTTTAATTTTTCAAGAAAAAAATAATTTTATGCTCATTTATTGTTTTTAACCCTAAATCCTAATCCTGCATGTAATATAAAACGTATATTTACCTGATTTTGTTTCCCCTACCTAAACAAACATGTGTATTTTCTGTGTTGGGTCACAAAAGTGTTTTTAATGCATTTCAAACATTATTAAAAAAGTCATATTTCCTCCATCCCAAAATTATTCTTTAATTTTAATTTTCATTTTAAGCACAAATTAAACTAAAAGTAAAAATTCAAAGTCAGACAATAATTCAGGAAAGGAGGGAGTATATTTTTTTACATTAATTATCTAAAAAATAAGAGTCGTATTTATTGGTTATAACTAATGAATGTGATTTTTTTTTTTTTTAAGAAAAACGGATGAAATACAATTGATTGCGACGAGAGGATATCAACCTTAAATAGTGATTCTTCTTTTTTCGTATTTATGTTACATTGCGATCCAAAATAAGTTTCTATCACCAATCTTAGTTGGGGTATGACGGTGTAGTAGGCATAACATGTCTAATAAAAAATGACATACTTTTGAATTTTGATGGAATAATACACACTATTGACATGGGGTCATAGACAGTCATATTTGTCGCACTTATGTACATAGTTCAATGAAAATGAATGTTTCGGTGTGAGTGATTATTAAATCAAGCATAAATCGCATAGGATCGACACTAAAGTAGTTTATACGAGTAATATAGCTTGAATTATAAGTGCCCCAAATTTAGAATAATGATGAATATTAATTATTTAGTTAAAATTTATACTAACTCCTTTTTAAAATATAAGAAATATACTTTCTATTTTGTGTTATTCTAAAACATAAGTTCAATTTGTTTCAATGCATAATTTTTCAAAATTTAACCTAATTACCCTTGTTTTTTAAAGGCCTATAGGATACTAAGACACAACTATTTGATTAGTGATCAGTCAAATACTCTAATCAATTAGAGATAAAATAAAATTTATTAACAATTACTGCTTAATCATTGTGCCACTCAAAATAGAGTATTGGAGTTATAATTTGAAAGAAATTAGTATATTGTAACTGGTTTGCTTGCAACCATGTTTTGGAAAATTCGTAGATTTAAAAAAGATCTTATTGACATTGAGTATTGAATAGGGGACCTTGTAGTGAACTATTTCGGTTTTGTTTTTGTTTTGAATTGGCATAAAATTTAATTGAATAAAGTTGCCTCAGCAACATCCAAAAAATGGTGTGCAATACAACCAAAAAAGAAAATGTTAAATTAAACAATGTGTCTCTTGATTATTCATTCATTGAGTTATTATTTTTTCTGTACCGCAGGTTGTTCAAGTGCTCACAACATAGGTCTTTTAGGTTCAAACTCAAAATCAAGACAAGACCTTGATCGAAGAACTTTATCACCTTCTCTAACAAAATTATCATTGTTTAACTAATCTTTTTGGTTTTGTTTTTAAACCAAGTTATCATCTACTAATTTTTACTTGGGAGCCACCTCAGTCCTACACCATTTCTTTACTTATCTTATCGCCCAACATAATTTTGGAAAAGGGCTTTGAAGTTTGGATGGTGATAAATTAAATAAACCATTTCTATTAAATTCAATTTCGATTTTGCCATGAAATCCAGAAGATATGACAATATCCAGGAGCGCCGTCGCAAAAGGGGAAGAAGGGTTGTTACAGAGCCGGCCGGAACAAGAATTTTACCAATAGATGAGGGCGGTGTCGACGACGAGGATAGTAGTAACGTATGTGTGTGGTTTTTGTCTGAATCGCTGTGTAGACTTCCCACAAAAGATGTGTTCAGGTTCACATATATATCTCAGGTCATATTGGTTATTCCTTCACCGAAGCCCCGAGATATCCACAAGATGGACATGTTGTCTGCAGAAACAGGGGAATGGGAAGATTTGGAAGTGTGTTGCGAGCGTCCAGTTATTCCATAGTTGGGGAAGACCCTCTGTTCTGAATGACACTCTTTTACTAGTTGGAAAGAGAAGTTGAAGACGAAGGAGGAGAAGGAATCATGGTCTATGATCCTTACCTAAATCCCCATAAGTTGAGGGTTATCGAGCTTCCATCTGATACAGGGGAAAAACAGAGAGATCCAATTTATGTAGAGTCTTCCCATTGCGGTGTTTCTCAAGGAAGTCTCATGTATTTTGAAATTACAAGAGCTCTTAATCGAGTGAGGACTTTAAGGATATGGGAGCTCCAGGAGGAGAAGGACAACAAATGGTGCCTTCAACATGAAATCCGGACTTCGCGAATTGTTCTTCCTCCTTCTGAACTTGTCTTCTCTCAGCTTGAGGAATTCAACCAGGCAACTTTTGTATTGTATCATTCCACCCGTTTGATAGAAATGTTGTTTATTTGTATTGTGGTATGGAAGAACTGGGGTTGGTGCCGTACGACATGCGAACCGAGAGGGTTCAAGTTGTCCATTGATACGATGATGGTTTGGCTTCTGGAGCTTCTACAGAGAGAAAACAAGGTTCACCATTTAACATAGGATAAAACTCACTTTTGACCACCAAAGTTGGGCCAAATTGCACACCTAACTACCAAAAAAAAATTAGTAGCCAGTTTTGACCACCATTAATTTTTTATTCAACGCTTTTGGTTTTTCGTAAGAGCAAAGTGGTAACCTAATAAATCTTATACTGAAATGGAAAAATTGAACCCATAAGTTTTGGGCAAAAAGTTAGAAGGTTTGTTATATCACCGTTCAATCTCAAATATGGAAAATGTGACTCCAAAATGTATTTTGTGTAGACGACGATTGTTAATTTGCTCAAACTAAAGTAGTAGCAAAAAGAGCCGACTTACAGCTGCAGGGAGTTTTTGCAAAGAAGCAGACCAGGTGGGGAATTGTGTGTTCCATGAGGTCTTTGTCATTTGAGTTACTCTTTGAGCTTTATCCTTTATTGAAAATTTAGATTATGTTCCTTTGAGCTGCACATGTTTTTTCAAGCAGTTGTCTTTTAGGCCTCTTTTTAGCCAAAATTCGTTCTTCTTCTCCACATTCAGATGTTCATTGACTTGTACCTTCCTAACATATGTAAGATTTGTTGGAGTTATTTTCAATATATTGTAGGGACATAATTAATATATTATGCCTATTGGGTGTTTTCAATATATTGTAGAAACAACTAATAGGTTGTGTCTATGGAATCCATATAAAAAGATATTAACGAAAAGTTATGTCTAGAACCATAACCAAGAGTTACGTCTAATCCTCAAGAGTTTCCTCTAACTCTATAATATAGATCATTTGGATGCTTTTAGTGTAAAATGAAATCACGACATACTTGGAATGTTTCCAATGACATTTCTTATCCTTGTATCAGGTTTTTGGTTCACTAAAGTGCATAGTAAAACTACATGGTCTCCATTTTATCTCATAGGGAATTCGCCTAGACAATTGCACTATATAGTGGGCGAATTTAGCCTAAAAGAAAGCAAGTTTACTTGTGACTTAGAGACAGAACTTTCTTTTGTCCTAACCATAAATTCTTCCTGTTGTTTTGTGATCTAGTGCAGCTATTGTTGTCCACTATTCTTGAAATAGAATTCTAATTTAAGCTAAATTTTCCTGTTAAACAATGGCTAGTACTTGAAGATCGAGCAAGGATATTTTCATTGCACACGAAAATGGTAGAAATGTTGCAGATCATTGGATTTAATGGAAAGGACAATGATATATAGGATACAATGGACCTCGTCATCAAAGTAAAAATTATATTTTACTTGTGAATTGTGACATTCCAAGTTCAAGGTATGTATATATTTAATAAATACATGAACGTAGTGATGAGATCTATGCCTGACTGGAATATGGTTGTAGAATTCATGAACTTTTGCATGTAAAAGAAATTTACTATGCATTATTTGTTGATTGCCCAAATGTGTAGTTTTTATCAAAATAAAATACTTAATTAATGTGATGATTAATTAAGAAAATGTATGTCATAAAAGGTTTGATAGAGAATTTGGTCATGTTTTTATCATACTTTGAAATGAAAATGCAAAATTGGCATTTGATATAACAATAGTGCTTTGAGTGCATTTTTATAAAGTCGAAATCTATTGGAATTTATTCTGTATTTTGTTTGGCTTTGTCGACTTGTTGGTCGACTAGAGTAAAGTTGACATAGAAGTTGTCGTTCGTTGATATGTCTGACTATTTGGCTTTGTCGACTTGTTCGTCCATAGAAATTAAAATTGACAGAAAAGTCAACATCCGTTAAAGTGTTTGGTTGTTTGGCCTCGTCGACTTAGTCGTTGCCTGGATAAAGTCGATAAAAAAGTCAACGACTGAAACCTAAGAAAATCAAAATAAAATAAAATAAATTCTTGTGTGCAGAATTTTTGTGAGTGCATTACATATTAATTATTTGATTTTGGGTTAATCAAATAAAGAACTTTGATCCCAATAAAGTGCTAATTTCGTGTATTTGTGTTTGTTACATGGAATATTTAATTGCATAAATGAATTTGCAATTTATATGATAATTTCATGTGATACATAGTATGACAATAGTGATATAATTATGAATTTATATCATATATGTGTTAATATATGATTTGAAATTCATGTCTTACTATATGTTTGAGTTGTTTATGTCAATACTTTAAAGTTTTCATGATATCTCAAAGAAAAAAGGAGATTATATGTTTGGAAACTTAGAACTCTTTATATATAAGAAAAGAGTTTGAAGAGAATGAAAAATTCTGTATTAAAGTTAAAAAGGAGAATGATCCTTGACCTAAGTCTACATTGTGGAAAATGGACAAAGCATCAAGTCCATATTCGAAATCATATCAACTAAATAAATAATGAATCAGGTATTAGGAAAGCTACCATATTGTAACAAAGAATGACACTAAGAGTTCAAGTGTAAAATATTTGTAATAAGAGAAATGGAGCTAATTTTTCAAGGAATATAAAGAAAGAAATCGTGACATGGTGATTTCAAAACTTCATAGTAGGGAAGATGGATGATTTCATTGTTGGGTTGATTGCGAAGTTTGAAAGAACAGACTGGTTCTTCAATTTCCTAAATATGATCATATTAATTAACAGTTTACATGCATTATTATTTAAATTGTGATCACAAGATGAATTAATGAACTCAGGTTAAGAAGATTTGAGTCAATAGACTCGTGTGAAGAGATGATCCTCAAAATTTGAGTTAACAAACTCATAAATAAGGACTAAATATTGAAAGACATTTGGTCTAAAGACTGAATGACTTAAAGGGATATGTGTAAAGTCCAGAAATGATTACTTGCATTGGAACCTCAATTCAACGCTAGTAAATACTCTAGTCTTGAATTCAATAAGCGATAGTACAATGTACAAGTAATTGAGCACTACAATATTTATCCAAAGTAGTTAGTGCTCTATATTTCCCGTTGGTTATCAGGTTGAGAATTGACTCTTAACAAACTCTTGTAAATGCCAAAATGGCGGGAGCATTAAGAAGTTTGCCTATATGAATGTCGGACTGGGCATCCACAAAACTTGGAACTTGGCTTTGTTAACATTCATGAAGAGATATGGGTACAAGACCTCACGTACCATAAGCACTGGTAAGGTGCAGGCAAGTTGAGGAGAAATAAACCTGTGTATTGATAATAGTGGCCTGTAACATGTACGCACGATTCAAAGCTAGTCTACTGGGTTGTACTACAAGTTATGAAACCGGCACTAAGGTAGTGGTTCAAGTCTAATGACACCGTTATTTTATGCATGGGTTTTGCTGGAATTATTCTGGATCTATTTAAAAATCATTTTCAATATTGAAAATGACGGGAGATTGTTTGAGTTATTTTCAATATATTGTAGGGACACAATTAATATGTTGTGTCTATTGGGTATTTTCAATATATTGTAGAGACACAACTAATAGGTTGTGCCTATGGAATCCATATGAAAAGACATTAACGAAAAGTTATGTTTAGGACCATAACCAAGGGTTACGTCTAATTCTCAAGAGTTTCCTCTAACTCTATAAATATGGATCATTTGAATACTTTTAGTGTACAATGAAATCACCAAATACTTGGAATATTTCTAATGACATTTCTTATCCTTGTATCAGGTTGTTGGTTCACTAAAGTGCATAATGAAACAACATGATCTCCATTTTATCTCATAGGGAATTCGCCTAGACAATTGCACTGTATAGTGGGCCAATTTAGCCTAAAAGAAAGCAAGTTTACTTGTGACTTGGAGACAAAACTTTCTTTTGTTCTAACCATAAATTCTTCCTCTTGTTTTTTTGTCCTAAACCCTAAACCCTAAACCCTGAACCCTAAACCCTGATCTAGTGCAGCCATTGTTGTTCACTATTCTTGAAATAGAATTCCAACAAGATTTCATTCCCAAATGGCTAGGATGACCTTATGCTCTTTAGGATCTCCGTTCGGCTGGATTAAGCGTATTATTTTTAAGTAATTTTGTGGCTTTTCCTTGGACTTGCTTATGTATTGTATTTATTAAGTTTGTTTCTAAAATTCATTTGGTGTTATGTTGACTGATGTGGTGTAAAAGGGAACTATTTAACACATCATCTTAGTTTATTGTTGTAACCCAGAGCTGTGACCATGTTGTACCGATGTCTTTTTCAAAATTCCTAGGTCCTCAGAGAAATGATAGATCAAACCTTTGAGAGCAATGCCGTAAGCTTTCGTCATGGCATGAGAAATACATAAATCCCATTCATCACAATGAGTTTTGGGCTTTGTCATTAGCACTTAAAATCTTACATTACAATTTATAACCATTGAGTTTACTTATTTGTTAAAGTAAGCCATCATTATTATGAGGTTTAAGTCACGAATTGTCTTGTACGATTATTGGGAGCGTGAGTGTGCTAAAGTTGTTTCACTTGTTTGGCCTTAGTTACCATAAGATCCCTTTTTTGGAAGACAAATATCTCTCATGATCAACCTTGTACAAGGTGTTGACGGTCTCTTTTTCCATAAGAAGAAACCCAAAATAAAATAACAGATTAATAGAGTGGTTATCCTATTCACAAAAAGTTATGTAAGTTTTTATTATTTTCAAATATACATATATAATTATGTTTGTACGTAATAAATTACAAAATTGATAAGACAAAGTAAATAATTTTTTTTTTATATAAAAAAGCAGATATTGTATTAGTTGGCAACAATAAAATAATTCTAATATATATGTATAGTAAATTTATCTTTTTCATTTTACATATGTACTAATAAATTAATTTTGTATGAAATATTAGGTACTTTTTTTTGAAATGAAGTATAAATTAACAAACTAATTTCAATTCTAAAGTATTTAAATTTCTAAGCATCCAAACACAAGAATTGGTATTAGAACCTCAATTCTTAGTTAATTCTTAAGAACTTTCAAACAAAAGAGTTATAATTGAATTATATCCTCAACATTTAATTTTCAATTCTGTAAGATTGTAATTCTTACTCAATTCCAATTTAATCTAACCAAACAAAGCCTTAAAACAAATGAGATAATAGGTAAAAATGGAATATAAAGACTTTTTCAGAATGATACTT